ACTGTCAGTGGGCTGTGTTGCTAATTAAACCACAAATTTATGCTTCAGATGTACTCTGTAGATGACACTAAATCTTTCTTTCCTGTGACTTGTCCCTGGAAAATTTTGAAGCTATTTGAGAAATGAAAATTTACCAGCTTAAATTACTTTACCCTGAATGTGTACCCATCTTCCAGTTGGCCAGGAAATTGTATGGCTTGTGTTGTTATGGTTTTTATCTCATAATGATAAGTGTGGTTGTGTCTGAATTCCACTATATATCATGTCTGGCTTGTTGACAAGGACTAAAAGTCATGAGACTCATTAGAGAGAGACTCATTAGAGATTCCAACTTTCCATTATAATCCAAATTAGAAGCTTTTTGTGTGTTCTGCAATGGGATTATTCCTTGGCTTAGCCTACAAAAGGATCTGCTTTGCATTAATGTTGGTTCTCCTCTATCTCTTTTGCTGTGTAAACTCTGGGCTGTAAATGATGTTCCAGAATCTGAGTGTTTCCAGTAATTCACAGGTGTTTGGCTGGCTGAACAGAACTCCCTCAGCAGCCTGAACCATCACCAAACACCAGCACGTTTGGCACTCCCACCCCACACCCTCTGTTACCTGTTCTCTCCTGCTCAGCACTCAGACTCAACACCAGGCTCTGCCCTGAACACCCAGAAAAGTCCCCAAACTGCCACCAGAGCCAAATCCAATTGTGCACAACAGTCCCAGGGAGAGGAGCCACGTTTGGAATGAAGCCAGAGTCAGAACTGGCCCAGATCCCTGAGTGACCCCTCTGAGCCCAGCAGGGAACCCCTGGAGCAGCTGGAATGTCACTGTCACTGTCACATGGACTTCCCACCAGAACCAGCTCCTGACTGATGCATTATGAGCCACAGGAACTGTGCTGGCAGCAGCCTGCACTGAAAAGAGATGGAAACCTCCTTCCTTCCCACTGTCCAAGTCCCTCTAATCCAACCCTTGGTGCTTATCAGAGATAAATCTAACTGACTCCAGTGACCAAGGCTTGTCCCACTCCATTTACACACCCTGCATGCTCTCCTCTCAAGAGTCACCAGCACTGGAACATTTTCCAAGAAAACCTAACTACAGGTTGTGTGTTATGGCTGTAAACACAGGACAGTGAAAAATCCCAAGCAGCACTTGGCATGGTTCATCTGGGAGATAAGCAATGTTTTTAGCTACCCCTCTGATCAGTAACACAATTACAATTCTTTTAGCAATAATACAAAAACCACTAAGGCAGCAGAAAATCCCCAGTTGTGATTCTGCTGGGAGAGAGGGAGTGTGTGTCCTTTGCTATTAATGCTGAATATTCCATGTGATAAAGGAACTCACTGCTGAGCCCTTCCAAATTCTGGGGTCTACATAAATGCCAAGTTAGCCTTCAAGAGGTAACTTTCTTTGGCAAATGAAAGTTTAGAGTAGCATTAAAAAATTCCTCAGATCACAAACCAAAACTCTTATTAGAAAAATAATAACTGCAGCTGGTTCACATCACTCTGGGCTTAGAAATACCCAATTACAGGTAACTGGTAGCTACCAGATAAAGAACAGGGATGTTAAAATAAATACATTTATCAGTAAAATATGTGGGAAATCTTCTCATAAAATAATTGCAGGCCAATACTGGTCTAACAGAACCAGAAACAATTTCACTACTTCAGTTCTCACTTAAAATAACTTTTCTAACCAGTGCATTCTGGTTGTCATGCTCTTAATTATTGATGATTTTCTCCCTGTTAGTATCAAAAAAAGTCTAAGAACACTTGCTATTAAAAAGTGTATGACTTTTTTAACCCAGACACCAAGTGTTTTTTTCCCCACTGAAAAAGAACCAAACAATTTAACTCATTTAAAAATACCCTTCTGAAATTCAGAGACTGACTCAAAATGGTCCCAACCCACCAGGGTACTGAGTTGTAATTAATTCATATGGCTGTAACCTCTTCCCTGTGTCACCAAGCACAGGACAGAGCTGTCTCACCAAGGTTCTCACATCTGCACTTTTTTGCTGTTATCTGACATAAAGCCAGCCCAAAGCCTGAGGAGAATTCCAGGCAGCAATCCCCCCCAAGGGACTGCAATGCCCCAGCAGAGGACATGGCCCGTCCCTGCCCTGAGAAGCCACAAAGCAGAACTGCAGCAGCTCTTACGTTGTGGAGTTTCACCCAGCAAGGGGCTGGCCAGGAGCAGGACACACAGCAGCACCTTCACAAAGGACATCCTGGGCCTGTTCTTCCAGACTCTGCCAGCAGCAGAATGAACTTCCCTTGCTGCTGCTGTGGATTGTGGATTTTGAGCTTGTTTTACAGCATCCTTCTCTGTAAAGAATTACTAATTAACTTAAAACTGATACAACTTCCTGATAACTTACCCAGCATATTTTCCTTTATAAAACAAGGTAGTTCCATAAAAATATCTCATTAATCTTGCTGTTTCTGAATTTTTGTAATCAGATGTGAGGTATTCATTTAATGACATAAATTTCAACACACTAAGGTACCTGTCAGGAACCTCTCCTCCCTTTAGGCTGATGTTACCTGTACAGAAAACAAACTTGGACTATTTGCAGACAATTTCCTGGAACTGACACTGTTTTAAAAGACAAAGCCATGGTCCTGAAGCTATCAAAGATGGATGTGATAGGAAAGAGGGAATCCTGTAATTGGATGCATCTACCATTAAGTTTTGTCAATTCATTTTTCCTTTTTCTGAGAAAAGAAAATACCCACGTGGCAAAGATGAGTGATGACACCTTAGCACACCCTCTGTCATCTTTCTTCTTTATTATTTAAAGAGTCCTTAGAAATTCTCAACATTCACTGCACAGGAAGATCCTGACTGTGGTCACCCCAAACACTACCCAGGTTACACCCAAAGTTTGTGGAGTTTCACTGCACTGAAGCTGAAGTTAGAACCAGCCTTGCTCTTAGCACAGGGCTTTCAAAACTAATCCATAACTGATAAAATCCCAGCGTGGAGTTCCTAGTTTGACAGGAGCTGCCTGCTTATGTAAACATGCCAAGCACAGTTACATTAACAGCAAAAGGTAAACTTTAACCTTTGCTTCTCAAAGGATAAATAATGATCTCTAAAAATCAATGCCTAGCAAATTCTTGAAAGAAAACTGCTTTGGCTTAAGCCCAACAGCACTTTATTACAGCAGTAGATAAGAGATTCTCAGTCCTGCCAGAAGATTGCTTTACAACAGACCACAACAAAGAAATTAATATTTACCCCAGTGAAAGAAATTGCACGATCCTTCTTCAGAGGTAAGGCACAAGTGTGAAGAAGCAGCTCCTGCAGATGCTCATCCTCCTGCTGCCAGGGAATTCCCCTCTGGCTCCAGCTGCTCAGTGGAGCAGACACCTTGAACAGACACTGCTGAACAGACACCTTGACCTGGGCTCTCACGTTTGATTCAAGGATGCAGAAATGCAGGGGGCAGTTTTTCCTGGGGTGAGATGTTCTAATGAGGCAGGTTAAAAACCCCAAACTCTTGACTTGGCTACATCACTGGCTTTTATTGCATGCAGAGGTTTGGACCTGGCCTGAGGAAGGGCTGCAGAGGCTGAGGCAGTTTCTGTTTCCAGTGCCCACTTGGGTAACAGCAAATAAACCCAGAGCCAGCAGACCTGAGCAGCTGAGAGCTCTGTACTGCACAGCACACCCATTTCCTCCTCTTATTGTCTGAGTTTCTGGAACTCAGCACAATCAAGTGCCAAGTTATTCCTTCAGTAACAACATCCAGGCTCATTTAATTTCTTCAAAGAGAGGAATAGAAGTAAACCAAAGTTACTGACCAAAATTAATGGTGCAAGATGGAACTGCTCATGATCTTTAATCTTAATTCTGATTTGGTGCAATGTGGCTGCAGCATTGCAGGAGTTCTGAAGTGACACAAACTAGCACAAGCCATGGACTCCCCAAGCACTGGGGTCAGGACTGCTACAAATAGAGGCCAGAAAAGGTTACCAAGGCTTGAATCCATGACAGGCTCAGTTTACACATCTTCCCTGCTCACAGCAGTGGAATTTCCTTCAGCTGTTGCAGCAAAACCCATCTCCTGTGTCTGTAAACAAAAGGACAAAGGAGTAACTGCACCTTGAACGAGGGTGTTTGCCTCTGCCCAGGGTCTCACTGGGTTTGTTCTCTGCCTCTGCTCCACAACGAAGCACAGACAGACACACTGACTTTGGAATGGCTTCAACCACAGCCTTCCTTGGCTGCAGCTTGCCATCAGCACATAGCTGAGCTTGGCTTCTGGGAATCCTGCACTTTAAAATAAAAACCACACACTATCAATCCAATGCCTACTGATTGTCCTTTTAAAAAGCATTGGCTTTGTGGGACCCCACTTTCTTTTGGATTTAAAATGTTTTCAGCTTTTCACTAAAATTCACTACAAGATAACAACATTGCTGCATTCCAATTCCTTTCCAGTACCTCCCAAGCTGTTCAAGAACCACAGGGACAATGTGCCATTAAAACAGCCCCATTACTCACTCACACAGCTCTCCTGTTGAGTAATTCACTCTTTACCTTACACGTGGATTACATAATTTATGACCCTTGCTTGGCAAATTACTTAATCTGGAGGACTGGCACAGTCACACAGAGACAAACACATTTACCACCTGCTTCCTTCCTGAACACTGCCACTCCTCCAGCATGGATAAAACTTTGGTTTTTCCAAGTCCTGAACTACACCATTCTTTAAAAAAACTACCAAGAGAAGGAAATGGAAGCACTTCTCAACATTCAGGCCACTGAGCATTGATCTGTCCTGTTGCTTCAGAGACTTGTTCCAGGAGTGTTTCAATACTGCAGAGGCGAAGTTTTCCCCCCAACATTAATAAACCAAGTGTGACTTAGTCATTAGAAATGAACTCTTAAAAAGTACTTGAAAGGGAAGGAATTGACAATTTTCCTACAAATGAAAACAACAGACAAAAATTAAACTTAGTTTTTAAAAAGTATCTTATCACCCTTTATTGCCAGGTGCCTCACAGTGAAATGACAAAGTATCACAATCAGTTTTATGTAAATAAAAAATTAATATCAACAAGCTCCAAATCTCTCTATATTGAATACAATCAACCATAAATAAAACCCCCATGCATTAAAGCTATTTCTGTATTATAAAATACCATGTGACCCCATTCTTTAAGACATCGATTTTTTCACAAATATATAACTTATATAAAAATTACAATATACATTCTTACTTTTATGTGACTGTATTATTGCATTGTGAAATGAACTTAAGTGACTCTTAAGGATACATTTGAGAGGCATTTCAAAGTGTTTCAGTATAAATTAATAAAACCATGTCTCACAATAAAACTTTTCCCATGTTTTATATTAACTTTTCAGTGTAACAGATTTGTCTATTGGGTCTGAAATCTTCTAGAGCCCAAGTCAGGCACGTGGTTACCCAGGACTCACAAGAGTGGCATCACCCAGATCTGAGTTTGCTTTTTTAAAGCCATTGCATAGCACCTTTACTAGAAATTACTAATACAGATATGTGGCTGCAGCTCCTTGCAGTCAGGAGTAAAGTATTAAATAACCCTGGAGGTTCAGATGTCTGAGCTGAAAGCAGAGAACACACCCAGCCAGAATACAAAACTTTCCATCCTTTTCTCCCACTTTCTTTGGCTGCAGTTTGGGAAGGGTTGTCTTTAGCTGTCCCTGTTTCAAAACCAAAATCTTGTCATTTTAACCCCACTGTGTGGGGACAGTAAACAAATACTGGTGATACAAATGAAACAGACAGAAAATTACCCTGCCTTGAGGAGAAAGAGAAATCTCAGCTGATGAAAAAACTAAATTAGAAAGTGACAATAACATCAGCAGCATCACCACCGACCTTACAGCCCATTTTCTCCCACCCCTGCCCTAGGCAGGGACACCTTCCCTGTCCCAGGCTGCTCCAAGCCTGGCCCTGGGCACTCCCAGGGATGGGGCAGCCACCTGCAAACCTGAGCTGGAACAATCCTGTGCTGCTCCCTCCTCTCACCCATCAAACCATGGCACAGCCCAGGGACTCCATTCTGTGAGCCACAGAACTGCATCCCTGCTGTGCTGCCATCAGAGTGGGCAGAACACTCAGTTTAAGTTATGGTGTTTAACTCTGAGGTTTGGTTCCAGGCCAGTGCTGCCCTAAGGAGCCATCAGAGCCTGCACTGCAGCCCCAGCACAGCTGTGGGCAGCAGGGCCATGCCAGCATGAGCAGCACCAGGGCTGCCATGGAGCTCCTGCCCGCCCAGCCCAAGGGACACCAGAGCCCAGGCAGCCCCACCTGCACCTCAGACATTCCATGAGTGGAGATGCCCTCAGTACCTGGGCAGGGCAGGGCAGTTTCTGGCACCCAAGTTTCTTGGCTGTGTCCCAAGGCTGCTCTCCTGGAAGTGCTGGTTCACAACAGCAACCCTGCAGCTCCTCTCCCTGCTCCCACCAGACCAACCCCTGGGCAGTTTTTCATTATGGCCTGAAAAATCTCACCCCAGTAAACTCCTGCAACATCTGCATCATCTCACCTCTCCTGTTGACTTGCTGTGCTAGCACATCACTCAAAGTTAGAATTTAACAATTTAGGAGCAGAGCAGATGGCTTTTCCTTCATGTTTTTATCCAGAATGTTATCCAAGGGAAACAGATAATACAATTTCTGGCATTCAGTCATGCACTTGAAAATGATAATTTCTTCACAATTTTCACTTATGTCTTCATCTGTTTCCCTGGAAATGGTAGATGAAGCCCAGCCATCTAATTTTTTTACTCCTCTCTCTGTGATGAAACACTAAATGTGTCATGTCCAGGAGCTCTCTGAAGATTGATTTAATATCCTCTGATTGCTGCCTGAATTCTGACAGTTGCCTGGGCCTTTAAGAGATGATTAAAGAAACAAAAGACATTAAATCCTGTCAGCTGTCCCAGGCAATTTCCACTAACAGAATTCTTTTAAACTTCACGTTTTCTGACTTCACCTTGCACTGGACTCTGTGTAAAAAAGACCATCACTTCCTAAAATTTGGATTTTAAAATATCAATTTGTTTCTGACCCATCCTAAAAGCTTTTCTTCTTTTGCTCATTCATCATTTGTGCCTTCTGCACATTCCATCCTCACAACTTTGCTGATCCCACAGGGACACCAGGAATTCTGCCTGTATTTCACTGGTCATTTGATTTGGCATCAGCAGCCTTGGAGAAGGATTCAGGTTGTGAAATTTCTTCTGGAGAGCAGGAGCCAATATCCCATCACATCCCAGTGCTGAGAACAGCAGCACTTCAGGCTTTAGCCTTCCATCCACACTATCTGGTATCTCTTGCTTCCCCCTCAATTTTACAGCAAAGCCCATATTTTCCTTAATTAAAAAGCAACAGAATGGAGAAAAATGGAGGATAAACAGAAGTACAGGGATATGCACCATGATCAAAGCAGTGTTTGAAAGTTTCATCCTAGGAAACTTAATTTCTAATATCATTCATGGAAAAACACGGAATCTCACAGAAATCCTAAAAATCAATGAGATATTGCATACAAACTTGTGGATGAAAAAGTTGGCTGCCTACTATTTCTGCATTTTTACTGTCAGCAGTTTAAACCTTGAAACTACAGATCTCCAACTTCCTAAACACTTCTAATGGATTTTATATAAATTCAGTATCAGTTTCATGGATTAAGCAATTCAAACACAGCTCCTCCAAGGATCAGAAGGTGAAAGCTGATGCTTAGTTTAGAAAGGAAGTTTAGAGATCAGTTGTGTGGTTTTGCCCAACTTCAGAGACATCTGAACACAGCAGAGGTGTGCAGGACAAGGAGTTGTTTCCATTCACCTTTGTGAAAGAGGCAAACAGTACCAAATTATTTTGTGATGAAAAAAGTGACTCTTTTACACAAGCTTTAAAGCCAATGCTGTTCACATGACACAACCACAGAGATTTTAAGGACACTCAGAACAGCAGGAACTTGCACTTCATTCCAGAGCTGAAAGATAAAAGACAAAGAAGCCTCTGCAAACCCCATCCCTCACATTCTTCATTCAGATCAAGGAACATCTGAGCCAAAGCAGAGATACTTTTGCATTTTCAAATATCCTTTGTGAAGTGACATTTATTAGCAAGTTTGGCACAGAGAAGCCCCACTGGGAGAAGACACTGACAAATCTTGTTTTCTCAGTGTCTCACTAATGACACTGAGTGAATTCCCACTGCTTATATGGAGTCAGGAACAAAATAAGCACTAAACAGAATCATGTAAGTCAATAAAACAAATTGGAGATAAGAAAATATCTGATGAAATTATACCTCACAGAGTATGCATTGTAAAGATTATCCCTTCCCTTCTTCCCTCCCCCTTATCTGTAACATTTTGCATTTTGTAAAGCAGACTTGGCTTAGCTCCTGGTGCTGTACATGTCCACATCTTCTGGGCTGGACTGGCCATGGTCTGCAAGTTTTGGATCAGGCTTGAATTTTGATTTCTTCACTGTTCCTGTTAGAGATAGTGAAGAAATATGGTTAAAAAGTATGTTTATACTTGAGTTGTAAGGAAAAAGGCTTAGTGACACATGTTGAGAATTTCTGTACTACCAAACACTTGGAAAAGATCAAAATCTGTCTGCTCCAGTTCAAAGTGTGTTAAGGAGGATGAGGGCAGGTTGGAACACTGAGCACAGCAGGGGATGGAGAGCAGGACCTCTTCTAACTCTCCAACACCCCTTCCTTCCAGCAGAGTGAGAGCAGAAATTGTGATGCTTTGCCCAACACGTGGAAAGGAAGGGAAAGTTTGAGGCATGGAAAAAGCTCCCTGGTGTTTCTTCTTGCCCAGGAGCAGATGCCACAACCAACCCTGCCAGATCTCCCTGCAGCTGCTGCCAGAGGGCAAGAATTCCAAATGCAGACAGGCACTCTCACCTGGTTTCACTTCTGAGCTTCCAAACCCACAAAGTGAGCTCAGTGAACCCCTGCAGCCTCCCACTCACTGAAGGACAGAGCACAGCACATATTTAATGATGCTGCAATTGCAGAGCATCTGGGGGATATGAAGGCAGCTTTTCTGGGGCTGTGGCTCCTGCTCCTGATCTGCTGCTTTTCTAGCTGCATCACTTGATCCAACAAAGGGTGTTACATTCTCCTGAAAGCTTTGCCCCACTTGGACTGAGAAAACAAACATCTCTGGCAACACAGATTCATTTAGGGCAGGGATATTTTTGGCTGTATTAAGGACATGAACTAATTCCACCTATGAAAGCAACGACAGATCTATAAACACAAACCCAATAAAGAGAGTTTGGCCTGGAGCAAGTGTAAAAACAGATCAAAGCATTCCACAAACTAAATCAGAAAAAATTCAAGTGCAAAGCAAAGATGTGAATGCATACAACAGTGAAAATAAAGGAAAAAAAATACTGAAATCCTCATCCAAGTATGTTCTGCTTGCTTTCCAGAAAAAAAAATCTCTGATAACAATTCCTTCCTTCCAAGTGATTTCCTTGCAACAAATAACATTTAGAAATTGCCCTTACAAAATAACATTACTTTAAAACAAATTTAGTTCTCCTTTAATAGGTAATTCCACTGCTTTCTCTTAAAAATTGGACCACCAAATTTCTGTCTGTTGAACAGGCTGTTGGGTGATCCAGGTGATTATCTCAAGCACTTAAGGTGCACCAGGAACCACTGCAGAAAACCCAGCACAATGAATCCCAATGCTTCATTTCTCAACTACACACCCCTCTTTCATTCCACTATGGATCCTCTCTGCACTGGTAGCAGACGCTGAAAGTAATGAAATCCATTTGAGACTTCAATTTTATAATAATAATCCAAATTAAAACCTTTTTGTATGACTTGCATTTGGATTATTCCTTATTTTGGCCATTGAAAGAACCTGGTCTACATCAATATTGGTTCTCTGACATTATTGAGAGAGAACAGCAAATATATAATTCTATTATTATGACAAGGTCCACAGTGAGAAAATTATCACCTCCCTGAGGCTCTGAAATATGTATTAAATGACAGCATGTAAAATATGCTCTCAAGAATAATATGCACTGACAGCCTGCTCCAGTTTAGAGCAGGAGTAAGTGCAAAATTAAGTCAACTAATTGGATTTGCAGGTTGCCCTGAGATTACACTTGAAATGTTTAATTCACCTGATGAAGGCACTGGGTTTTCATTACTCCGACACTTTACTGCGGAAGATTCAGTTCTGTTAAATGATCCTGACTCAAGAGCAGACCCAGGTTTGGCACTAGAAATTCCCTTCTTTTTCTTATCTTCTTGCATAATTGGTTTTGACTCTTGCTGCAGCTGTGAACCAAACATTAATAAAAGAAAGCACATGGGTATATGCTTAATACATTATTGCAAAATAAAGCTTTCAAGTCTGGGAGCTTATCTTATGAAATTATTTTCAGATATGACATCATGCAATGATATTCAACTAGTCAGCTGCATACAAGGGGCACAGCTGGAAAAAATAAAATTCATGAAACCCCACAGATCAGATAGAATAAATTCATGGAGAAGGGAAATTGCCATGAGGACTGAAGCTGTGGTTTTACCTGAGACCCTCCAAGACCTTCACAAGTTCATTTCCAGGTGAGGAGCCTTTAGCCTTGCACAGGACTGAAACAGCCCTGAGTGTTTACAGAACACTTACTAGCCCTAGTTAGCAGGGGATGGAAAGATAAATCATGGGTAACCCTGGTAAAGAGAAATAGTGTCCTGGGCAGAGGCTTCACTCAGGGGAAAAAATGGAAAGTTAAGAGAAGTGTCTGTACCACATCAATTCTTGTTTAATGACAGTTATGTGAATCTCATTTTCAAAATTCAGGATTCCATTTGTGCTTCTCAGAAGAAATAAAGGGTGAGGAATGCATGCCTATGAGTACTGTAAATTTAAAGCAAAATATTCCTACATATAACTGAGAAACTGAAATTTTCTTTGAAAAGAGCAATGAAAAACTACTGGAGCAAAGCTGCAATTTTACTTGGGAAGTGCTATTTTGTCAAGGTTTTATAAATTTCCACTTGAGGAAAAAAAACCTTTTGGGTTGGATAAAACCCACATTTAATTCTGGGATTACCAACCCAAATTCCATATGTAATTTACAGAAGGTTCATATTGCCCTCTACTCTCTGCTGGCAAGGCTTCAGCTGTTTAGTATGTCCTATTTTGACTGCCTCACTTAAAAACCACACACAAAATCCCCTAAAACAGAGAAAGGAGAGAAACTAGAGGAAATTCTGAGGAGACGAAGAATTATGTCAGAGTTAGAAAGTCTGCTCTGTAAGAGAAGGTTATAGTGGGGAAGAGAATCAGGTGAAAACCTTGATAACTTTTCCATGTGTAGCAGGTCACTATAAAGAGGCTACTGACCATTTACTCACTGTGGCTGCCACGAGGACAGGGCAAGGAGAAGGAATAAATCAGCCATGGACAATTCACATCACAGGGTAAATAAAGCAGACTTCCTGCAAGGGCTGCAGAGCAGCAAGCCACTCACACCTACTGTAATCCTGAGTGTCTTTGGTCTAAATTCAGGGGCTGCTTAAGACCAAAGCTTGAATGAAAATGGATCCTTCATGCCAAGATAAAAAAGGAGCTCTAAAGAGAAACTCAACCTTCTCTTGTGCACCCTGCATGGGACTACTATTGAGAGGGGATCTCAATATCCACTGATGTGAAAACAATTAAACACTGAAGGGACAAAAAGATCAGACTGGGGTTTGTGCCTTGCTTAACACCATCAGTAAACCTTGAACAGCATCAGCAGAAGAGACCACAACTTTCTAAGCTCCCTCTCAAGGTGTGAGGTGTAATGATTTCCCAAGTCCTACCTTGGTGGCAGTTTCCTTGTCTGCCCACAGTGACCTCACAGCCTTGTAGGTCTGGTGACTTGCATAATGTAACTTTTTCCCTGTTACCTATTTTTTAGAAAAACATAATTAACAACAATTTTTATACAGACTATTCAAATGAAATTAATCCTGTTTGCATGAGAACATGCTCAACATCCTAAAGCATTGACTTTTCAAGATCTAGTACATATTTCCCTTACACCAAGCAAATTGTAAATAATGCTTAAATTGGTATTAGGAATGCACCGGGAACATTTCCATGCTAAACCCACTGACTCCAAATGAAATCAAACCCTGATCAGCAAACAGTGTGCTGGCAATGTTGGCACAATAGATGGAGCACCAGGTTAAAGGATCCAAACTTGTCCCACTGTGTTGGAAATGAGCCCAGATAAACCAGAACCTTACCTTGGCAATGACCACTGCCTGAGCTGGGTAACAAACAGCATATCCTACAGCAGTGAGTCCCAATGGATAAGCAATTTTCTTAAATCTAGAACCTGTACAAAGCCAAATATTTTGAATAATTAGACAAAAATGAAATGCAAACAAAGTAGTTGTAGCAATTAAATACAAAGACAAATAATCCCAAACTAGGTTTTCCAATATTATGAAGAATGAGAAGAAGAATTCTATCATTAGTCTGTCTAGTCCTGCTCTGTCAGCTCTCAGCCAGCTCCTAACAGCAATCAGTAATGTCCCTTCATTTACCAAGAATTTATTTTAGTCCCACAGGCTTTTGCCAATGTTTGAGAAGAGCATTCTGACCAGTGGAACTGTTCCAGGCCCCACACCCCCAGGGCAGTGATGGAACAAGGCAGCCCCACCTCTCCTTGCCAGCACTGCACCAGCCAGGCCTGACACCGTGATCACAGCAGCTTTGGGAAGGAACTCTGGGGGGGGGTTGTCCAGGTAAACATAAGCATCTAAAAATGGGAAAAAAAAGACAAAAAGAAGCATGGCAATTCAGTATCGGTCATTTTATTTTCCACTTAAGAAATAAAGGTGAAAATTTTGATTTTACTGAGAGTTTATAGATGAAATGAGACTCATATGTGACTTGCCTACCTTTTCCAAACTGAATTGAATCCATTATTCCATTTTTAATGAAGTTATAGACACTCTAAAAGGAAAGAAAAACAAAACCAGAAAGTAAAATCTCTGTAAAAGTAGCTGTTCACACATATCTCAGCACAATGAGACAAAGAAATACTGTGTAACTTTAAAAAACCCAAACGAGTGACCTTCTAGAAAAGCTGTGCAGAGATCTACCCTCTTTGTGACAAACACTTATATTTGTAAAACTTACACTTGCAACTAAAAAATTTTAAAACATCTCTCTAATGTAAGCCCCCTTTCAAAACTGAAACCTCATCAGCTCTAGAATAGGAAAACACCTGGATGCCAACTGCATAGGAAAACTCTATTATAAAATACAATCCTCACTTCCCTAGAGACTTTCCCAGGAAAACTGAAAGAACAACACCGAATTTGTACCACCAGAGGTCACTGCTATTCAGTGGCAGGAACTCACAATGATTAATGGCATTATAAAGTTTGGTACAGATTTATAACAAGAGTGCTTCAGTCATGCTGTCACTGACAACATTTTTACAGACCAATGGAATCACAATTTACAGAAAAAATGAAGATATTTTGAATTTTGTTTTCAACTGTTAGGGTCTACAATTTTTGCAAAAGGAAACCACAAAATTTTCTCTGGCCTGCAGCCAGGGTGAAGCTGCTGTTTCCCAGCAGGTACAAAAGCAGGGACAGGCACCAGTTCCCTCTCCAGATGGAACACGCAGTAACAGAGCTGGAGGAGTTTCTGATGGCTCCTGAGGAACAGCCTGCTGCAACAGACACATGGGATGCATTGTTTGTCTTTTATGTCAGGCACTGCCCTTTGGAAGCAGCTCCTTCTCCACAGACTGCACCTGGAATTCCAGACTCCAAAACACCCTCAAAGTTCTCCCAGCAAGAATTTACCGCTGCTGTTGAAGGAGGGCTCATTTTTCCATCCAAAATTACCTTATGCAACACAAAGACCTGCCAAAAAAACCCTCCAGGGGGAAGTAACCTTTTTTTTCAGTAGTTTAATGCTGAGAGAACTGCAGGAAAGGCTGGGTGCATCCCTTACCTGGCACCAGCCGAAGTAGCGGCCGGTCGTGCTCCGCAGAGCCGTGAGCTGCTGCTGCAGGGGCCCCGGCTGCTCCTCGATGTAGCGCGACGTCCGCGGGGGGGCGCTGTAAATGGGGAGCTGCAAACACAGAGAGCTGGGTAAAAGGGACACAGCCCTGTTCCTGTGAGTGCTGCAAACACAGAGAGCTGAGCTAAAGGGACACAGCTCTGCTCCTGTGAGTGCTGCTAACACAGAGAGCTGAGCTAAAGGGACACAGCCCTGCTGCCCTGAGTGCTGCACACACAGCTGGGCAAAAGGGACACAGCCCTGCTCCTGTGAGTGCTGCAAACACAGAGAGCTGGGTAAAAGGGACACAGCTCTGCTCCTGTGAGTGCTGCAAACACAGAGAGCTGGGTAAAAGGGACACAGCCCTGCTCCTGTGAGTGCTGCAAACACAGAGAGCTGAGCTAAAGGGACACAGCCCTGCTCCTGTGAGTGCTGCAAACACAGAGAGCTGAGCTAAAGGGACACAGCCCTGCTGCCCTGAGTGCTGCACACACAGCTGGGCAAAAGGGACACAGCCCTGGTCCTGTGAGTGCTGCACACACGGCTGAGCTAAAGGGACACAGCTCTGCTGCCCTGAGTGCTGCAAACACAGAGAGCTGAGCAAGAGGTACACAGCTCTGCTGCCCTGAGTGCTGCAAATACAGAGAGCTGGGTAAAAGGGACACAGCTCTGCTGTACCCCTGGACCTCATCGGCGGTGCACTGTAAATGGGGAGCTGCAAACACACACAGCTGAGCAGCAGGGACACAGCTCTGCTCCTGTGAGTGCTGCACACACAGCTGAGCAGCAGGGACACAGCCCTGCTCCTGTGAGTGCTGCACACACAGCTGAGCAGCAGGGACACAGCCCTGCTCCTGTGAGGGCTGCACACACAGAGAGCTGAGCAAGAGGGACACAGCTCTGCTCCTGTGAGTGCTGCACACACAGCTGAGCAGCAGGGACACAGCTCTGCTGCTGTGAGTGCTGCAAGCAAACACAGCTGAGCAAAAAGGACACAGCTCTGCTCCCTGAGTGCTGCAAACAGCTGGGAAGCAGGACACAGCTGTTGAGTGCTGCAGTTAAAGGGGGTTTTCCAAGCCTGCAAACTCTCAGTGTTCCCCTGCAGCACACAAAGCCCCTCTGTGGAATTATGAACTTTCAGAGTTCCAACTGACCCTACTCAAGTGGGACTTCACTCTTTGGAAGTGAGAACTGCAACAATGGTGTGGGTTCTTAGAAGCAGAATTATTCAGTATGAAGCAAAGGCATGTGTGTGTGGATGTGTGTACTACTACAAATTGCACATTAGAGAAGGACTCATCAGCCTCATCAGCCAGTATTCTATTTTCACCTTTTCTGACTTAATTTTTGAAATACCATAATAATGAAAATCAGATAAAACTTCACCAATTTAACATTATAACACTTTGTGGTTTATTTGAGCCACAGTGGTCAGTTATTTATCATCACATATTTGCTATCTATTTTAGTTACTGTAATTCAATGGACAAAGCTGCTCTTCTGCAGTTTTTTCTGTATTATTTTAAAGACCAAAAAAGAGGAAGATTCATACCTTGTCTGGCTTCACCAGCTGACTTTTTGATTCCTGTTCTGTTGCTGCATATACAGTAATACATATCAATGGCAGCCCAGAAGAAACAGCTGCCAGCTTTGCCACCTGGGACAGAGAGATGAAAACAGGGAGTCTTAATGCTGAAATTAAAATTTCCCTTTGGATTGATCCAATATGGGATTAAACAAGTCACTTTTAAAGCCTTTTTTAAGCATTATGCCTTTTAGAAATGTCTTCTGACTTAAACAAAGATTTTCTCAAATGATAATGGTAAAGAAAAAGTTGAAGAGCCCTGAACAGTTTTATGTCTAAAATACCAGGAAAAACCAGCAAAGCCACACTGATGCTTCCATCACCTGTTAGGGTAAATTCAGCTGTAATTTACTCAGGATGCAGGAACTCCATTTCTGAAGAATTATTAAAGAAAAACTATTTTAACCTATCATAATTCAGATTGCTTATTTCCATACAGCATGCTACCAGAACAAGACACTAATTTTCAGTAGACACTAGAAAGAAAACTGAATTTAAAAATGATAGAGCATGAGAAAGTTGCATTGTTCACTTAAAAAAAATAATGTATTTTTAAAAGTCCCAATGGATTCTGTTCTCAATGTAAAGGAGAAAGCTACACAGGGAATGATCAAAGTGGTCCAGCTCCTGACTGACAGTAATTGCTTTACTTTTGGGTGCCTGCAGACAAACACATAAATGTTTAAAGGTCCAAGGAAATAGCTGCACTGGCTAACATTTACACTGGCAGTTATCCCAAGAGGATTTCACTCTTTTCTACTGAAATCACAAAGAACCAGAGTGAAAGAAAAAGCAACATCACCTTGACTCCACTAAAGAGGCTTCACTGCACGGAGCTGTTCCTTATCTAATCACAAGGTGCACTAAAAGACCTCAGTTAGCTAAGTGGTTTTTAGTACTAATTTATTGAAATTATTTTATTAAAAGTTTCTTATGAGGCATTATGCATCAAGCAACAAAAATCAGACATTGTTTAGCTAAAGAAACCAGTAAGTATTTCACCTATGAAAACTTCCACAGAAATTACTGACAATTAAGAAATGGCAGGATCATATTTTTCTATCAAACACTAGGAAAGGAGCCCAGAGGAAAACCCCTGCAACAGGCTGGAGCTGTGGAACAGCCTGGGATTGCATGTTCAGCCACCAGAATGACTCCAGAACATCAGCTGATAACTGACTTACAAATAAATAAAAATCTTCTTTTTGAGGAACCCAGGAAATTGCTGCAGGTACAAAAGCCAGGTGACATTTCTGGAGATGAATTCTGCACACACACAGAGCTGAACACCTCCAGAAGGAAAGGTCAGTGGCCAGTAATAAAACATTTCCTGTAACACCACTGCCAAGGTCCTGACCTGCAGCACTGATAACCTGAAGGTTTTTCCCCAGAAATAAAAAACACACCTAAGACAAACAGACATGGCAATATTTTTGATGAGAAGCCTGAACAGCAATTATTTGCTGAAGAAATGCATGATATGCTCTCCAGCAGAAAATTGTTACAGCTACGCCTCTTCATAGCAGAACTGGAGTAAGACCAATCAAAATATAACAATAAAACTGTCAAATGTACCTGGGTAATTTGGCTTTAATTCTTTGCATTTCAAACAATCTGCTTCAAAGTGTTGGAATCTTATCAATGATCAAAAATACAGATTCTATTTAAAAAAAAAAAAAGTAAAAAAGCTACATCCCCTCAAAGAATTGACTATCTTCCACTCAAAAGATGCAGAATACAAACTAAACCATAATAAAACCACATAGTTAATTTATGCTAATCTCCAAGACATTGTTTCCCACTGAAACTGCAAATTCTGTGTGCTTGCTTCAAGAACTGGAAGAGGAAACTTGCCCTGAAGGCAGGAACTGCCTCAAAACAAAGGGAATCAAAGGGTGGAGTAAATGCAAAAATCTGATGCATGGATTTATATAAAAAAATACAACTTCTGTATCACAAAATGGGAATCTACCAGCCAGGGTAAAATAAGATTAAAATTTAGCAGCTACCTCGTATCATATTTTACATTAAAAATGTTAATTAAAAGTAAAGAGTCACAGGTTTATGACTTTCTCCTACCACTCAGATACCTTGAGATGGATCACAAAACTGTCTCACATCCTTTTGCTTTATTTTCCCCACAAGTTACACGAGACATGATTGTCAGAAGCTTGCAGGCCAAACCCAGTACCCTAATTCAGGCATATCTTTATAAATCTCTGGTGACAACCACCAAAAACTCCCCCACAAATGGAACACATCCTTCCACTTCACCTCAACTCCCTGACACTCCAGGGATTTGGGTTTAATCTTGGTAAGTGACCCACAGAGCGTGAAATCTTAAGAAGAATAAAAGTCTTATTAATAAATATTTCATAGTTAATAGTAAAGAACACAATTAAAATTATGTCACTTCACTAAAGGTACAGAATCATTCAGATTTGTGAACTAAGCCAACCAAATTACTTCAAGATCACCCAGGCGGACAGCAAAGCCAAAGACAGTTTCTTTTGCCTTAACAAACTAAAGCAAAATGGTTTATTTTAATTTCTGTCCTCATTGGTACCATCCTTTCCTTTCCAGACATATACACTTTTAAAATGCTTTAAAAAAGCATATATGAAGACTCATGTGATGAACTTATTCATCAATTTGATTGCCAACACTGGAAAACCTGTCTAAATATTTGTGAGAAAGCTTAGATCTTTACATGCATGTTGTTCTGTTTAAAGACACTGTATTATTCCTACAACTCGCGATATTTTAGATACTTCTAACCCTGTTAGCTCGTAACAGCATGATTTTAACAGCCTTGTTTTGGTGATGTACAGCACCACTAGCACTTTATAGTGTCACTACCAAACTATCATCTTGATATTCCTCGAGCTGAAGGTGTTTCGGGGGCTGCGAGTACACGGAGAAGCACCAGAAGAGAAACCCCGCTTTTATTCCCTGTTGCACAATTTACCCAGCTCTCGAATCAGCTCCTTCCCCGCCAAGTCCCACAGCACCAGAGACCTCTCCCTGCCCCACTCCGCCACCTGACCCCGGCTCCAGCGGCACCGGGGGACGCGCGGGCGGGCCGGGCGCTCCCGAGGGGCCGCACGGAGCCGCCCTGGCTGTCTCGAGGCGGCGGAGGAGCGGGAGCGGAGCCCGAGGGGCAGCGGAGCCGCGGGGCCCGGGCAGCGCCGGCCTGAGGGCGGGCGGACACTCACCTTGGCCGCCATGTTGGACAGCGCCGCGTACGGCGCGCGGGAAGGGCCGCGCCGGGCGGGGCCGAGGGGCCGGGGCGGGACCGCGCTCGGGCCGGGCGGGATCGCCCTCAGCCGGCATTGCCCGGAGGCGGGGAGGGATGGATTGCACTCAGCTGGCATCGCCCCAAAGCGGGCAGGGACGGATTCCCCTCAGCTGGCATCGCCCCAAAGAGGGCAGGGATGGATTTCCCTCAGCCGGCATGGCCACAAAGCGGGCAGGGATAGAATCTACTCAGCCGGCATAGCCCCAAAGCGGGCAGGCACGGATTCCCCTCAGCTGGCATCGCCCCAAAGAGGGCAGGGATGGATTCCACTCAGCCGGCATGGCCACAAAGCGGGCAGGGATAGAATCTCCTCAGCCGGGTCGGGCATCATCCCAAAGCGGGTAGGGATGGATTCCCCTCAGCCGGAGTGGGCATCGTGCCAAAGCGGGCAGGAATGGATTCCCCTCAGCCGGAGCGGGCATCGTGCCAAAGCGGGCAGGGATGATCCCGCTCAGCCGGAGCGGGCACCGCCCTCAGCCGGCATGGCCCCTAAGCAGGCAGGGATGATCCCCCTCAGCCGGCATGGCCCCAAAGCGGGCAGGAATCCCTCTTAACCGCGGCGGGCTCGCCCTAAATCGGGCAGAGATCAGTCTCAGCCGCCATCGCCCTAAGGTGGGCAGGGATCCCCCTCAGCCGGGATCGCGCCCCGATCGGGCGGCATCGCGCTCAGCCGGGATCCCCCTCAGAACACACAAAATCCCCCATAAAGCACAATCTAAGTGCAGATAATTCGTTTATTGAAGTCCAAATTTACAACGGAAGTTTACAACTTTTTTTTTCTTTCCCCAAAACAAAAGCTTTGTTTGAATTTAGGAAGAATAAATGTTTGTTTTTGTTTTTGTTTTTTTTTAATAATGTACAGACTATATCTCTTAAATAAGTTAATATCTTTGAAAAAAGAGCAATATGTTCCTTTTTTTAATGTTGCAGTGCAACTTACGACTTACACGTCTGTGCAATGTACCATGAGGTATATGCCCAGTGAGCAACACACAGTGAAGTTTTCCATTCATAAATTTTCATTGTAGACACACAAAAAGTTAACAAGTTATTAATCTGTGATAGAAAACACAGCCGGTTACAGTAATTCACACAGAACTCATCTGGAAAGAGGGAAAAAAGAAACCTAATGGTCATTGCCTATAGAAACTATTGGATTATCTCTCAACATAGACAAGTATAAAATTAAAAATACTGTTGTGAAACTGAAGAAATACTGTGTTATCCAGGGGTTGAAACCTCGTTTGACCTGTATTCATCTAGAACCATTGGTTTTCTCTCTGTAGCATCCACGAGCTGAGGGATTTACTGTGGTACTGATGGAGCATCTGCTTGTCAAAGCATTAAGCACGATGGGCACTATAGAAAAGTTGCAGAATGCTCAAAAACGTACAACTCCAGCATTTCCCTGGCATGGACAGGTGGTTTTCCATTGCCTCTCAGTTCATCTCCCAGCTGATTAGAAAAACAAGGCTGAAACATGGAAGATTACTCGTATTTGAAGCTTGACACTTCAAACTTCTCAGGATGGCTCTAAAATACTTATTTTTCTTAATGACAGAAAACATATATTTATTTAAGAAAGAATCATCCACAATATAACTTTGTGATAAATAACAGTTCTGCCTCTAATACATATATACATACTGCTTGTAAACAAAAATGCCCACAGGTCATGGAGTCTCCATGATTTTTTTTACAAGGCGCTATAGATTTTTATTTATTTTTTCTTTTTTTGTTATTGAAAACAGTCCTAGTGAAAGTTTGGTTTATAACCTCCTATTGCTACAGAAACAGTAAGAATGTTTATATTTACAAAGAAACAAAGACCATGGAGACCCCATAGCGTTATTTGCCAAAGATTTGAAGTCGGTGGGATTTGCAAAATACACGTTGTCAGCACGTTGGACAGGTTGAACACCAGCAGTACGATACTCCAGTGCTTTGGTATTTCAACCCCTGAATATACAAAGACATTACTACAGCCTACTTCACAGTTCAATGCAAGTAAAGTGCAAGCCATAGTACAAGGGTGTCATACATTTCCATACATGTAAGCGTTATCTAAAAAAGGCTCTGTACAAGGTTTATTAGCTATTAGTAACCTAGATGGAAGTCACCTATGGCCCAGCAATTAATGGTCTTACAAGGATATTGTCTTTGTAATACAGTATGTGTCAAATGTAAAACGTTTATTAATACTAGTGCATTTCTCTTACATCCTAACCTGTTTTCTCATCAGATTTTCAAGCTGAAATCCTTGTTTCTCAGTAAAACAGAAGTCTTAACTGGTTACAGGGTCTTACTGGTGTTTTGGCCAGCAAACACAGTTTGTTAAGACATATTTGTTTTGTGGTTGCTAGTGAAAAAATGCAATAGTTCATATGTATAATGTGACATCCTTAGTTAATCTGCAGCATTCGGACAGACACATTTACTGTTAGTAAAAAGATCTGTATTGATACCCTCACCAATGCCTGAGCATGAACAATATTCTAGAAATGTGAGGACAGAAGCTACAGGGCTTAGCTGGTCAAAAAGCAGGTTGTCGACATATTTGATCATTTTTACAACATTGCTTTCTTTCCAATACTGCTCACACAGGGCATTAATGCTTAAAGTCCCTAACTGTCACTTCTAACACATGTATGTTCTTGATAAAAATAAAGATATATCTGTCTGGCCTACATTAAGAGTGAATATGGTTCTTTTCCTGAAGGCAGTTTCTGTCTGAATTATTTAAATATTTTTATTAAGAGGAGGTCCCAGTAGTATATCACCTGTCTTCAAACCTGATAAAAATTTAAACAATATTATTTATAAACCTCCTCCTGGATGTGCAAGAGTGGTATAACCCGTAAAATATAGAAAATAAGCTTTAAAACATGTTTCTTTTTCTGTTAGTTATATCCAGAGTGAAGTGTTCCCTGCCCACATGTTAGAGAGTGGAACTGATCAGAAACATCACATTTCACTTGTGGGTAATGGGAGCAAAGAAAATAACTATAAACATCAAGTAAGAAAATACAACTTACTAGTTTTGGTTTAAATAGCCATGAAATTTCCATACAACAGCTGATAGGGCTCAGATGTGATTTTCAGAAGGGATTTTCAGATCTGTGCCCACTTAACATCCATCAAGAGCCTCAGCCTTGAGGCTCTGTGAATTCACATTACACAGTGTGAATTCATCTGATGGAGGACCCTTCCCCACAGCACCCTGCCTGGGAAACCTACCCTGAGCCTCAGCTTTGGTGAGGGAAACATTCTGGAACAAAAAGACCTTTTTAATGCTGAATAGAAATGAATAGCTAATATTGCTTCTCCAGTCTATCCTGGTATTACCCATTTTTGGTCCTAGTGGTAAATAAACATCATTTGGCAGCAGGGAAGGTGATGTGCTGTGGCCTAAGGCATGTGGTACATGGAAAAGCTACCATGGAAAACCTGTGCCCTCCTGGCTGCCCTACAGCACCATTCCCTACTGTGGAGAATGTTGCTTCTGAGGAGAGAATAAAAACTGAGGAGAGCATAAAATCCTTTAGGAGACCCAGCCAACTCTTATTTCTCTAACATTAAATGTGGGGAACCCAGGCATGCCCTGAATGAGGTTCAGGCTGGGGCCCAGCAATACAGACAGGCCTGTGCTCTCTTCCTTAAGGAATCTCCCTAGGACTGGCTCTGGAGACAGTCAGAACCTCTGCAGAGACACAAGACTTGCTTTACTGACAAATTGAGTGTTTAAAGTATAATTCAATTGTCTGTTGTCATTCTCTAGTTCAGGGGCAGCTGACAGGCATTGCAGAGGGGGCTGGGTTTGTTGTGCTGCATTGTGCCTTAGCCAAGGGTCCTTTTACACAAACCATCTTTGAAGGAAGGGTTTGTACAACTGTTGATGAATTATCACAAAATAGCTCTGCTGTCTCTCCTCAAGGATCAACAGGCCCCAGCTATATCACCTTGGTCATAAATACTGCTATTTTTGGCAGAAAGAATGCTTTTATCACTTTGGAAGACAGTAAGACCACATGAGGAAAGAATATGGCAAATAAGGTTTGTGATAATCTTGGCCTTTTGCATTTACATTACTGGAGACAAAGAAAAGAATGTTCTTTGTTCTCCTCAGATTTCTGTTGAGTTAAACAATTTTTACCAGATTCTTCATTTTTCTCCCAGAGGTCCTATTAACATTTCAAGTGAAATCTCCTAAAGGTCAGCAGCAGAACTGTACCATTTTCCAGGAGGCTGAGCCCTTCCCAGAGCCACTGTAAAGGGACTCCTTCAAAGGTACCTGTGCTGCCCTTCACAGGACCTTGGAGAAGGAGCTGTAACTGCTGAGAGGAGGGAGAGGAGGCTTAGCTGGCCATGCACAACTCTCTGCAGCACTCATTTCTTTTTCCTTGGAAAAAGCCAGTGGAGCACCACATTCCCAGCTCAAAAGGCAGCAGCCAGAGCTGAATGTCCTGATAACAACCCCCTCCTCCTCCTCCTCTGGTTTTTGTTCGTGTCAATTAGAGCAAGCTCAGGGTAGTTTTCACTTGAAGTAATGAAACCAACAGAAATGTCTTGGTTCTCTCAGGAAGTGATGCCGAGAGAGCTATTAAGACACTTTCAAAGATCTGACATGTCACTGAATACAGAACAGTATTAAAAAAGGAGGGGAATCAGTAGCTCGGGGGGAGCATTAAATCAGTTGTAATGAAAAATAGCCGGAACAAAAAGACTCAGCTTGTGGAGTGTCAGAGAAAGTGTATGGGCTGAGACATTTTACCTGAAGCAATTCTGAATGAAGACACTAACTTTAATAAGATCCAGTTAAATAAAGCACATCCAAACATTTCCATGTTGTTGTATATGCTAAAAACCAAGTTTTACCTGAGAATTCAGGCAGGAAAACTGGTAAATTAATAAATCTATTGTACAGGTGCTATTTATTTCCCTTGATGAACTCAGCAGCCAAGCCTTGTTCTTTTCCTATTTAAAAATATGGCATCAAAACGACCACAACAATTCCAGCTGCTTTGTACTGTGCGTTTGACTACCTGTTGGGCCAGGAGAATTGGATGTACTTTAATACATAAGCAGGACTTGGTGCATGAATTTTTAAATACATTATCTGTATTGCACTTTGCATTCCAGTGAGTTCAAAGGTGGTGAAAATCCAAATAATTGTGCTGTGGTGACTGTGCACATTCTCTCTGCAGTCCATTTAGATTGGAACCGACATCCAGAAGGAAGAAGCCATGGCTGAGAGGGAAGGGCTGCAGGGTGGGGTTCAGGAAATGTGCCAGGAGAATGAGAAGTTCTTGTGAAATGGCTTCCAAATGCCAGCTGACATTTGTGAAAGAATAGAGTCTTTGTATTGCTTAATTTAGCAATTAGATTTTGCTTGCTCTAAGGCACAAGCAATGCCAGACAAAGGGTTCAGACTTTTCTCCCAGTTAATCTTAAGCCCATTAGAGGGAATTTCTCCAGTGTATCTCATCTCATTTCATCTCATGAATCTCCTGGACAATTTATTTGGCCTATTCAGTGGAAATCACATTTGCTGAGAGCTGCTCTGCAAGAGCAGAATGCACACTCACAATTCCAAGAATTTCAGAAAAGATGACCTCATGACACTGAAAGATTTTTAAAGATAAGCTGAGCAAAAGTATGAACTATCTACTATTTATCTCATCTATTCATATTACAGAAATTGTATTTAAACTTAAAACAGAGATGATCTGTTTTCCCTACTATTTGTGTCATTTCTGAGAAATCTGTCTTCCCAATTATGTTTCTCATTTTCAGCTGTATCTCTAAGTAGTATTCTCTGCTTGCTTGTGACTTCACTGAATATGCTCAGTTATGTCTTGAGTGATGAAGCAGTGGCATTTGAAATCCTTTTGGAAAGCTATTTGGAAACAATATAGATATTTTCATTATGAAAGCACAAACCATCTTTTGAGTTTGAAACAACAGGCATATTTACATTTCTTTAGGAATTTAGACAGTTCAATCTATGTAACTATTTCTGTGACCATCCATCACTGCTTGCATGTATAATATGAATTAATTTCTAAATGGATTCTATAATTTATGCTGTTGCTCACTGGAAATGAAGGAATGAAATTAAGACTGGAAAGAAGGGAGGAGGCAAAGGAAAGGTGTTTTTAATTTTGTCTTTGTTTCTCACTATGCAATTGTATTTTAAATTGTTAATAAATGAATTTTCCCCAAGTCAGGTTTGTTTTGCCTACAATAACCACTAGCAGGTGATCTCCCTGTCTTTGTCTCAACCCAGGAGCTTTCCTGTGGCAATTTTCCCCTCCTGTCCAGCCAAGGTCAGCTCCCCTGAGCTGCTCTGTGGAGACAGAACTGAACACCCAGGACACCTTCACCTGGTCTGGCTTTGGAACAATGAAATCTCCTCCTGGATACTAGGACCTCACTGAGATGACATTTTTTCCTCTATTATACTGAACTGCATGAATTTTACAGTCCTTGATGGATGAGAGACAATTAGGTTTATCTTGTGAAAAAATGATCAGTGAACTTGTTTCAGTGAAATCTGTTTCAGTGAAATGACATCAGCTGTATTCACATCCCCTTCATTCTGCCTTTCAGAACTATTCTACAAGCAGAGTCAAAGCAAACTGTGAATGGCTTTGAAATCTATGTTCAGTAGCATTCAGAGCAATCTTTTTCCCCCCCAAGAATACAAGTATTTTCCCCAAAATCTGATTCTTCCAAACCATTCTCACCCAGGCAAGGAAGTGAAATCCACTGCGTGACTTGTGTGTCTTCCCAAACCAATCAATACCGATTGGTTTTTGAACGATGTTTTGAATAACTTCACCCACTTGCACATGTACTGCTAGCAGTTAAAAATTATTGCCAGACATTACATAATTTTGAATTATTAACTCAGCTATAGATGTCAGTGTACCACAGAATGTAATTGATTAGTTCAGGAGGTTTTTTTAGCTTCATTCTCATGCTTTTTTGAATTTTGTGACTCACAGTCATGTGTCACTTCAATTCACAGTGAAGAAACGATGAAAACCTGCAGTATGTACCTTACTCAGTGCAGATTTTTTTTTCTTTCACCATGAAATACTTCAAATCCTATTAAAACCTGTTTAAGTTGCAGCATTAGTGAACAACCAATATTGTTCTACTCGTATCTTACCTCTGTGCCAAACCTGCTTGCTCGTGTTCCTTCATTTAAAGGCAGGCACAGCACGTTACAAACACAGTATTTAAATGGCATGTACAGAGTGCCCATAGGGCCAGACTGGGATCTATTTCTTAGATGTACAGTGTACATTTTAAGGCACACTATAGGGATTGAGTTTACATTTTGATAACTCTGTCCTTTTATTTGCAAAGATGGTCACTACCTGGAAATGTTGCAAAAATAAATGTTCATCTCTAAGAGTGGCCAATGTATTCATGTCTTCATTTTTATATTTTTTCTCAAGAAAAAATGTGTGAAAATGTGAACTTTAGGGAATTTTAAAAGGAAATGTCAACTACCACGTTACATTTTATATACATAGATATGATTTTATATATATCTAAATATATAAAATGATTGCAGGAACTCATACTATAAGCTGAGTTTTAGTACAGTACTTTAAATATACTGGTATTTATTTTCAGTTACACTTCTGCACCGCTTCTTCCTAATGCAGAGCTCGATACGGACATTGGTTGATAACAGCAAACAAAAAAATTCATAAAGAATATTATTGTCTTATCATGCAATGTAGTAGGCATCCTGTGGCACTATTCTCTTACCCAAGTATTTACAGTACTGCTGAGTACCTTAAATTCACCAGGGTTTGTCTGCCTGCCTCTGTCAGGCACCCAGCAGTGGCCAGGCTGAGCTCCTGTCACACGTGAGTCTCGATGAAGGAGTGTGTGTGTGTCAGCATTGGGGCCGAGCTTGCCAGTTCAGAGGCTCCGTTTTGAGACTTCCCAGCAGCACTGTACTCACAAATGTCCAGGAAGAACTCATAGTTCTTTAATTTCCAATCTTTGAACTTCTTGGATGTTAAGTTGGGATCGTCCAGAAGGCTGTTGATAACGGTGAGGTCCCCTTCCTTTGCCTGGCAAATTCCAGAAAAACAGAGGACAGGTCAAAATGAAATTCTGTATTCCAGCACATTATTTCTTCTTTAATGCCAAGTGCCAGGAAAACTACTATGGAAGCTTTAATATTTACCTAAATTCAGGAACTATTACAGCATAAACTGTTTGGCAGCTCAGTCTGTGCCACATGCTACAATTTGCCCACACAGAGTGCCAAATAATCTCCTTTTTTTTTCCTTAAAATGGAACATACTTGCTTTGAAGGATTTTTAGTTTCTTTGAAACTTCATTTTAAAGCTACAAAAAAAGCATTAACAATAGAAACGTAAAGAGATTAAGGACAAGAGGGAACGGCTTCACACTGCCAGAAGGCAGGGTTAGCTGGGATATTGGGAAGAAATTCCTGGCTGTGAGGGTGGGGAGGCCCTGGCACAGGTGCCCAGAGAAGCTGTGGCTGCCCCTGGATCCCTGGATGTGTCCAAGGCCAGGCTGGACAGGGCTTGGAGCAACTTGAGATAGTGAAAGATGTCCCTGCCCATGGCAGGGGATGGAATTGGATGGGCTTTAAGTTCCCTTCAACCCATCAGCATACTCTGATGCACAATTAGACTTTTCCTAGTTTATATTCCTTGCACGCAAATCAGGGATAAAGCCACACAAAATCAGGATAAAGCCTTACTTTTAAAGTGCTCTTGAGGACTCGGATGTGGTGCAGCTTTTCGTTGATCACCGGGTCGTTGCATCGCTTCACGAAGGACTTGCGGAACTCCTGCTTGGTGGAGGGACGCTGCTCTCCGAAAGCTGACAGACTGGCTTCTTCCAGAGTTCTGTAGAGCTCTTGCAGACCATCTGTGATATCTTCAATTTCTTTCACGTTTTCTGAAAGGAAACAAAGAACCCTAACAACAAACCTGATCATTCAGATAAGCCTCTAAAATCAGCGACACTGCAACTTCAGTACTATCATAACCTCTTACTCAGTTCTGCAGTGTTAGTTTTGGTGAGACAAGAACATCATCCCAAAGCTCAGTTTTTAGCGCTACATCCTGGCATTTCAAACTCCTGTGTTTGCCAATATCCAGCAGTTCAACCACAAAATCCTTGCTGAGAACAGTGGCAATACTGCTCTGGATTTTGAAGCGGAGCAGAACATCTCCCAGAGCTTACCTTCTGCACAGAAACTATTGTGCCTTCTAAGAGGAACCTTCTCATCCAGGCTGTCGTCGGTGTCCTCAATGGATTTCACGCGTCCCTTCCCGCGCACGTCTCTGTTCCGGGGTAGGCTTTGGCTGCGCGGTTTCTGGGGCCGCCCGTGGGAGCTGTGTCCCCTGGGACACTCCACCAGAGGGAAAGGCCCATCCTGCTCAAAGTTGTGGCGCCTCTGCACGGGCAGCGTGGCTTGTCTCCGTCTGTCCGGGGACATTCCGGGCCGGCCGCTCGCGTACTCCGCCTCCGGAGGGACGGTCTGGAGGAAATGGAGCCCTGAGCTGGTGAGGGGGGTCTCGATCAGGTCCTGCCACGAGCGCCGTTCTCGGTAGGGAGGCCGGCACCCCGAGGAGTGCGTGCTGCCCGCCGCCTCCGGCCGCGACTCCTCGGCCGAGGAATGGGAGTACGTGGATTCGCTGGAAAAGTGTCGGCCTTGCTTGGCTTCGGGGAATGGGCTTGAGGAGTTCACCTGGAAAGACACAAAAACATCTGCCCATGAGACAGTGTTTTGAACAGAAATGACTGCAGTGTAAAACACTCTGTGATATCTAGTAATCACATGGACTCATGGGTTGGATTGGTCATAGCATGAACCACTGTAAACAGAAGAGAATTAGCAGTGACAACTTTTATACAAGTGCTCTTTGAACCACTCCCTATTCTTGTTTTGCACATTCTCTGCCCACAAGCAACTCCTGATGGAAAGGAAAGTGTAACACTGGAACAGGTTTCCTGAAGACCCATCCAGCTTACATTCAGTGCAGCTGAGGACAGTGGAAGTCTCCAAAAGAAACCATAATCGGATTTCCTTTCTTTTTTTTTTAGGGGCCAAACAGAAAAAAAAAAACCAAAAACCAAACCCAAACAACAAAAACTTCAGCACCCAGAAAGATTTTTGGCTGGGGCACTGTTGAACTTGTGAAACTATTTGAATGAATTCTCTGGGTCTGTGTATAAATTTAATTCAAAACAAAGAGAAAGGCAAAAATGTGGAAAAACAGAAAGGGAGGGGCTTAACCTGTATCCCAGTTGATAAAACAGCATCACATGGGTGAAAATCAGTCTGAGCTTCACCCATGTGATGCTGTTGTCTCAGTCACTCTTTCTTTGGTTCTGGCTGTGTGAGGATCATGTCATTCACGCTGAAGAAAAATCTGAAAGAAAAATAGAGAACAGTCCTATCTGTGCTTGGAATCATAGAATAATTATCATAATTGCCTGTGTTTTGTCTGATAGAAATGTTCTATTTGCAATACTGTCATCACCATGGCATTGTACACAATCTTGTAAAAAAAATCCCTGTCCTAGAAAGATTTGTTCTTCAAAAAAGAACTAAAACATGATTACTGGGTGAATGTGAGCTGATCTTAATCTCTAGCATCCAGTATCCAATATTCATAATTGAAAACCAGTCTCAGTTAATACAAACTATCCCATCCATCACATTCTTTTCACATTCTGCAGTGAAGGTAAAATTTGAATATTCTTTTCCTGTTATGATACGTAGTTTCACCAGTCTTACAAAAAAAGGTCATATTTCCAGTCTGGTGACAGATGTGTGTCAGGAAACATTTACCTCTCCTTCCTTCCTAACTAATTTGCTATGGGAAAAATCCAGGTCTTGGCTCACGAGGAGCAGCAGTAATTTAATTTTAACAACACATCCGGCTTTGTTCCGCCGCCTTTACGGTGTTTAAATATCCCAGGACAAGGGAAGAGCAAGCCAAGCCAAGCCAAGGGCTGTTTTTGGTGGCCCTGGCACATGCAGGGGTGTGACTCACTGAGGGGGTGCGGTGGTAGCTGTCACACAGCGTGGCGGAGCCTTCCTGCTTCAGCGTCAGCGAGCCCTCGACGTCGTCCTGGTCGCTCTCGCTCCAGTAATCTGCTGACAAAGCATTCCAGCTCTCACTCGGGTGCTTTTCCACCACAAAACAGATCCCACATTTCAGCAACATCTTTCCATGACAAGGTAAAATTCCCCAGTCACCTGCAGGGCTTGGTAGCCACTCAGGAAGGGGCTGGTGGGAAGGTCTGGCCCCTCAAACAGGGAAGCTCTGAATGCTTTAGGGAAGGGTTACAGAAGGCAGCTCGGGCACCTGACTCCCACTGCCCATAAAAACCAACTTCTGCTCCCAGACTTTCACACAGAAACCTCGTTCCAGATGCTGAAATAGAGCCAAGCCTCAGCACTGAATTTAATTGGGCATAACAGGTTCCACTGTGGGTAATGGGGAAAGGGCAAGGCTGGCACCTGAGCTCAGGAGGTGCAAACAAATATTGCTGAAGCACACATTGCCCCAAGTCTCTGCCATGTTTTATGGGGGTGAACATCGCTGAGGGCTGGGATTTGGGAGATCACACCTCACCCTGAACCCCACATTTTCTTTATCACTTATTTTAAATATTTCTTAAAATTACTGCTTGGGATTTGATTTTCTTTGGTGGTGGCACCAATAAATGTAGTTCAAGGAAACGTATTCTTATCAAAATTGATATTTAGAAAGATATGGCCATATGTTGCTAAAGAAGTCAGTTATGACCTCTCCAGCTTTAGTGAAATACTGAACAGATTTGTCCTGTCTGCTCTCTTCTCCTAATTATAACCACTGAAGCATTACCTTCATCTGGGTGAATATCCTTGTCATCAGGTGTGTAACCAATTGCTGCGAGACCCAAACGATTCATCCATCTAACAGAACAATAAAAATGAGGAAGAGAGGTGTTTAAAAGGAACTTCTCATGTAAATCTGAAGGCATCCACATCCTTAACATCCGGAAAAGTCAGACACGACACCTAAACAAAAAGGCTGTTAAACCCATGATTCAGATTTGCTGTGTGTTTGGTAAGTGGGAATAAAGGATTTTTCACATTTATTCTGATTGATATTTATTTCAAGAACTTGCTCGAATTGCCAAAATACTATAAAATAAAATAGACTTATGATAATTATTGTCTGGAAACCTGTGTTGGGAAATTAAAGTTGTATTAAACTTGTATCTTCAGAAAGCTAAAACAGCCTATGGCAGTTTGGTTATTTGCTAGTCTGGATTCACAATGCTGGTGATATAAACACTTGGTGTTGTTGAGCTGTGATATCAACATTGTTTTCCCTTACTTTGTTTAATACAGACTTTTGGTAAACTGCAAGTGCTTCAATATTTGCATTTCACATTGGATGTGTGAAATTGGTTTTTTTCTTTGTCCTCAAATTATTTAGTTTGATAGAAAAGAAGATTCTTTACTTCCTTAGGGAAATATTGTAGCTAATCTTGGGGAAAATACCTTTTGAGTTTTCTTTCTGTAAGATTACTGGATGTTTACACAATATATAATTAAAAAACTAGGGGGAAAAGGGAAATTAACACACAGAGGGAAAAGTCACTTCTTAATGTTCAGCAAATGGAAAATCAAGAATTATCTTATTTTCATCAACAAGAAGATATAACTGAAGAAAAAACCCTAATAGTGACATCTATAATGCCTGGAATGTTTTGAACCATTCCCTTCCTTGGTGACTAAATTCTTAATTATCTAATTAATTTCCCAGAAAATTGATGTGAGAGTTTATCTAGAAGCAGCTCTTTTTCCTTTTCGAACATTTGCAACATCAAATTTGTTAATAATTATCTTCTTGGTTAATGAATATTATAATGACAAAACCATCTTTCACAGGCCTCAAGTCGGACATTAGTGAACAGTACATGCAATATCAATATCAAAAGGACGAGTTGTTTTGCAGATCAAAACAAGAAAACTCTTCAGTGTCATTCTTTCCCACTTGTACTACAGGAGAAAAAAAAGCTTTTAAGGACGTGTGTGTGACTGTTATTGTCCAGGAGAGGGGTGTGTGGGAGATAGGAGGCACAGCAGGGAGGCAGAAAATGAAGGAAGAGTGAACTGTGCACTAAAAATAGCTCAGAGTTGGGCACGTATTGATCCCCTGCTCCCAGCAATGATCCTCATCTCTGATACTGGTACAGCCCCGGCTCACAGAGCCTGCCTGGATCTCATGGCTTTCCCAAGTAGCCAGAGGGGACCACAACGTTCACTTCTTACAGGGAATTCTGAGAGGGTTTAATTTACTTGCAAAACTATGAAAATAAAGAAATGTACAACCATATTGCTTTGCCTCTCAGTATTAAGGCAGAAGTCAGCAAATTGGAGATGAAAATGGAAATGATGATTTGTTTTCCCAAATACCAACTGCAGGCTTAGCACTGCTTACAGCCCTTGTTTGCATCAGCACATCAATAACTCATCTTTATCATGAGGGAAGTACATTTAAAATGGATTAACAGATTTGCAGAAGAGCTTTTGCACAGTGCTCTCCAGCATCATTTCCCTCAGCACACGGTGCCTGCATTGCCTGGGGTTTGCTTCCCTTGCAGGGCAGATCCTTCACTGCAGGACTGGCAGTGACATCACTCCTTTATCAGCATTTCTGTTCACCAGTTTTTCATCATTTGTTCCCCAATTTCTGAACTCATTAGCACTGGAGCAAAATAGTTTCAGTCATACTTTGCCATATGCCTTTGGCAATTAAGCAGGATGGCTCAGTGCCTTCAACTGAGGTTCTGCTTAAGCACCAATGATAAATTAGGACTAATTACCATTTTCCAAGTTAAAACAGACACAGCCATTTGTATGGTCAGTGCATGGACCAAATTTATATTGTCTTAAATTTCTTGCTGAATTTCTTTTGTTGCTCATCGTTAATTTGAGGGTGTCAGATGTTGGAAGCAAACACAGACACCAGCTGAAGTGTTAGGATTAACCTGCCAGAGCCAGGGATGCTCTGAGGATACCCAGAGTATCAGCTTTATGCACATGGCCTCAATGGCCAAATCTGGAATTAGCTGAAGTTAATCTTCCTTCTCTAAGGCTGCTCAGGCTTTTCTCTTCCAAAGGCCAAGATCATCCCCACCAGAGTTACAAGGACTTTCTTACCTCATTTACCACAATTCAGAGTCAGCTCCTGGCCAAGCCCACATAAAGGGTTATCTGATGACATTCAGTGGCTTATCGTGGTAAAATCTCTTCTGATAAAAGAACTAGAATTTCCATTTTAGGTTTTGTGTTTTTAAGAAAAGCATGAGTGAATGTTTTTGAGGTTAATCAGGAGATATACAAGTGGTGAGATTACAGCTCATTTTCTTACAGTTAATTTTTTTTCCCCAAGGAAATGCAAACTCAGTTCGAAAGGAACCCTGCATAAACTTGATGAATTTCCTTGATGAGCAAACCACTTTCATTTCTCAGAAAACCGCAGGTTTTTCAAGGTTATAAAAAGCTCTTTGTGGAGAGCCTGGAAAGGCAGGCAGTTGGTTCTGAGCTGTCCCAGGTGCCCTGTGGGCAGAGGTTGGGTTCCAGCTGGCCCTGGGAGCTCCCGGCAGAGCTGAGGGATGGAGGATGCACAGCCCGGGGAGGGGCTGGGTGCTGCAGCTGCCAGCACAGCCCCAGGGCTGCTGTTGGGGCTCTGGAGCTGTGCCCACCTGCTCTGGGACTCCCCTGTGGCCACAAGGAGGTCTGGGCTGCCCTGGGGGCACCTTTGGGATCTCAGGTGCACATCCCATACCTCACCCCCAGGCTGGGCTCCCTCCCCAAATCCTGCCTTTTTACCTGGATAACTGCAACAACTCTTTGCTGTTGATGATTAAACAACTTAACCAGCATGTTTCACTTCGTCTAGGCCACCGAACAGAGCACAGGGTTTGCATTCTGGATGGGAATTGTGATGACAGAACAGCACTGCATGTCCCAGGGATCCTCTGCCACAACATTTTACCTCCAGGATTGTACAAATCCCCATAAGACATAATCACTTACCAAGGCACATTGTAACAACCAAGAAATGGGTTGTTTTTTATTGCCTGTACTCCAGTGAACCAAGGGCAGGGAAAGATGAGCCTCCAGTAAAGTCATCAAAATGCACAAGTAAATTTTGTACTTTGTCTCAATTAAATTCTAACTAAATCAGGCTTGGTTGTAATTAATCCTGTTGGTTACAAACAGGCACTGCTGTCATTGCTTTGGGATAAAATAGAGCTGCCTGGTAGTATTTAAGTTAAATTTACTGAGATAATTCTGGTTATTACCCAGGGCCTCTTCTGAGAGTCTGATTCTGCCCCAGGCCTGGGCTGAGTGAAGGCACCAGGGCAGTGAGGAGCTGTCACAGCCTGAGACTGGAGTGAATCATCCCAAAAAACCCCAAATTGTCAGGAACCAGGAGCACATTCAGCCACTGACAGAAACACTGGGAAATGCTGAAGGGGACCAGGCAGCTGGAAACAATTGCACATTGCTTTGCTCCCCTAACACTGCACTGAAAACCAGAATATGCCACTCCTCAATGTACAAATTAATGAATTTCTGTTTCCTGGCTGCTGTAGTTTACTCTGCTGAGCCAGCCCTAGGTCAGTGGGAGGTTCTGGGAGTGAGGACAATTAAAGTTTCCAATTAAAGTACCACACTCACCCCCTTGCCTGCTCCTTTCTACAAGTCCAGAGTGAAAAAGCACAAATAAAAAAATATAACAGCTTGGACAATCTCAGTAGTCATAAATTGGAGAGAACTATTATTTTTTAGTGTAGGAGAATGAAAACCAAGGGAAGAGGATAACCTTTTTTCTCTTCATGTAAAAAAGGGGTGAAAAGATAGAAATTTTAGGTTATAGTTAGAACTGTTCCACAAACCCATGGAGAAGAGGGGAGAAAGAAGTGAGATTCTGTGGCTCTGAAAAGTTTGATTTGCTAACATCCCCACGTATTGCACATACCAGGTGGCTGGTTTTAGAAAAAGCTATTTAATTCAAATGAACATGTAAAAAATTGTAAGTCCTGAAAAAGTCCAACTACTTTTCCTATTTGTCTCTGAAAAACTTTCCTTTAAAAATGAAGTCTATAAAATCCTGACACATTAACAGAAAGAATAAATAAAATATACTTCCTATCTTCCTTGCATCTTTTCATTATTAATTCTTGCCCTTGTACACCACCTCAGCTTTGTGTCAGAAATGTTTCAGTGCAGAAATATTTTTTCATTTTTGAGATTGCATCTACATTTGAGATTATTTGGTTAAAAGGAAAAACTAGCACTAAGTGGAAGTTAAATTTCACTTAAATCAAGTTATCTTTAAATCTATTAGAGATTCCCTTGAACCATTTATTTCGTACATAGAATTTATTCAGTGCAGTTTACATTTAATTTCTGATCAAAAGCTTTGTATTATGTATTATGTGTTTTACATCACTGGGATAATCAGATTCCAGAATTCACAGTAAAATTCTTTGCAATTCACAATTAGATTTGAAAATTGATTTTGTACTTGTTATGTGGACTTCTCTGCCCAGTCTTTCTTACTGAACACCTGAAAAATCAATGCATTTCCCATTTGCCTTCCTAAGGTACATTATTTTCCCTATTTTCTATGGTTATGCAGGTAATGCATTGATTTAAGAGAATAAAGGCTGCTGTAACAGGGGTGGCTGAGATGATGCCTTGATTTTCCTCCACACAAAAGGAGCCCCAAAGCATCTCCTGGTGAAATGTGGCCCTGAGCAGCTCCTGCTCCGCGAGATCATCTCTGCTGTGCATCAGCCCCAGCAGCTCTGCCTCTGCTGCTGGATTTGTCACACTTGCTGGGATTTGTTAGGCAAAATCATTCATGGGATAAACTCTGAGTGCTCTCTGATTTGATAATTTGACATGACTGTTGATCTTGTTTCATGCATTGTCTTCTTAGATTTGTCAGGCTGGAAAAATAGGAAAAAAGCCTGAGACAGCTTAAGAATTGACAAATGAACCAATCTGTGCCCTCTTTGCATGTGCATCTGCTTCATGCACTTAATGGGATTTTTTTTTCTATTTTTAATTTTTTTAACTTGACTCTGTCAAACAAATGCACAATTATGTCTCTGTACTCAGAAGTCTGGTTTGGTGTGGGTGGTTTGTTTTTGTTTTTTTTGTTTTCCCCAGTGGGTAATAGACAAAAGAAATTCACTGCTTTGTAGCAAATAAATTACCTTTCTGGTACCAGCATTTACTGTACAAATACATTTGTGTTTCACAGAGAGTAAAAGCACACAATAACTGATAGGCTATTTGATCCAGAACCAATAATAAACCCTAAAGAAATCACCAAAACAGTCACAAAACCTCACTCAACTGGAACTTCTCTTTACTCATTCAAACTTTTGCCCCAGCTTTCACCAAATGATTGGCCCAAAGGAAAGCTCTCGAGAAAGAAAGCTTTGTTTACAAGCAAGAAAACTGAGCTTAGCATGACACAAACTATGGGTGGGGTTTTGGGGTTGAGAAGTAAATTTTTTAAAGAAATGGGATGATTTACTTGTGAAATTGTGTAGCTCTGCTTCTACATAGTTTTTAAAACCTCAGCTCAAATAGGCCAAATAACGCTGTTAAATGCATAATTCATTGTGGTGAAATTTCTTATTTCTGTGATTTATTTCAGATTTGGCAGAGTTAACTCTGTATATCCAGCATAAGGTCACAACAGGACTGTGACACCGCCTTCAGCTCAGAGGTGCAGGGATGGAATCACCAAATCTTCTCTATGAAATGCAGCTGAACTGCTTGGCTCCCATAAGAGCCCTATCAATTCCCACTGGCACTATTTGCAGCAGAATTTGATGAAGTTAATTTTGTAATTGAAGCTGGTGCAGAAAGCCAGGGCAGCCCCTGCCTCCTGCAGGAGGGATGAATCCCCCAGCCCAGATTTGGGAGTGCTGGAAAATCACAACTGGGCACTGCAAACGCCATCAGCCACTGGGGCTGGGGGCTGAGTGAGGGGGGAAATAGAACTTCACAAGTCTGGGGTAAATAGTTCATTAATTTTAAAAAGGAGGAGCCAGGTGACTCGCCCAGGAAAGGAGGTTTGGAATGTTCCAGTTGAGTGCTGAGAATTCCTGGTGCAGTATTTTGCCTAGGAAATGATATTTGGAATATTCCAGCTCAGTGCTAGGAATTCCTGGTGCAGTATTTTGCCCTGATAGGGAACAGCAGCTCCACTCTCACCCTGTGCTCTCCCATGAACATCATGGTTTCACCCAGTCCCCGGGGCCTGCAGCTAATTCTGATCAGAAAATTGTTTTACTTGTGCTGCACTTAGGAGCTCTTATGTGAGAACAATAAATTAGAGGGCTGGCGTGGCCTCGGGCACGGATTTGAAACAAGTTTATGGGAACATAAAAGGAAGAAAGGAAAAGCTGCTCTTTATGATTATTTACAGCACCATTGGGAAGCTCCATTCCAGGGATTTCTGTCTGAAAAGCACCTTTCATGTTCTGCAGAATTATCTCCTGGCTTCTCAGCAGGTGAGGAGCTGAGAGTAAGAGCTCTGTAACAAAACTTACTCAGCTCTATTTGATAAAGAGCTGGTGAATCAGGCCAGACAGATCTGACAAACTCCTGCTCACTTGTCCAGTTTAAGGGGGAAAGTGTCTAATAGCTGAAACTTTTAGCTGCCAAGAGCTTTACTTGGGTGCCAGTTTATATAAAGTGAAGACTAAGTGCATTGAAACTGGAAAAGATGTGTTAATGCTGGCTCACCACCTGATTTGGCCAAGATCTGTCAAAGAGACCAACATGCCTGAAATTTAAGGGAGAAAACTGAATTAACTTTAGTAATAAACAAGATGATTTAGGGAAAGTCTTGAGTAACTCACTTGGTTATACTCCATATGTAAAAGTAGATAGGAGTCACCATGAAATTAGCTTAATTCAGAATATTTCAATTCTCAAACAATTCTTTTTTAAGAGGAATATTGTGCTATAATCTTTCAGGTCTTGGAAAATATAGGAGTGATCCCTATAAAAATTAATCATTCTGTTTCAGTAGCAACTATTTATTATATTTCTTGAATGAACGCCAAAGATTTATGGGAGTTATCAAAATTGCAAAGTTAACCCAGTTATTCAAATCAAAAGTGATCAAATTATTCAACCTAAAATAGAAACTTTTAAAAATTTAATATTTGGAGTCCAGGATGAGATTGCAAATGCACTGCCCTGCATTTTAATGGCATGTAAGTTTTAAATAAAGTCGATATTGTAAAACAGCCCAATATTTAATTCAATGCTAATTAAAGCCATAAACAGGTTATGTGTGGTGTGGTAGGAGATGAAGCACTTCTGGGAAATAAGGCCTTTAACAAGCTTGGAGTAGCAAGCTAGAGATGAGCTCATCAAGTTCATTATTAATTCATTTCTGAGAACACGGCTCTGCCCGTGTAAGAGCTGACAAACAGCACGAGCGTGAATCCTGCAAACCTGAGTGACACAGCAGGCAAAACTCAGCCCCAGCTCAGTGCCTGGCTCTGCCACAGAATAATCCAGCCCCACCACGGGGGTCCAGCTCTTCCTTCAGCAGTGTGGGGTTAAAGGCACAGGAAAATATTCCAGAGTGGAAAAAAAATTAATAAATAGTGAATCGGGGGTGAGAAACTCTAAAAAGAGCTGTTAAAATAAAAGTGATTGAGGAAAGGATAAAATTCCCCTCATAGGGAATGAGGAATGTTCTTCTGCATGCCAGAGTCCTTCACTTTTCAGCATGAGGGATCTCCCCTTCCATCAGCAGGGAAAATCCAGTTAAATTCTGCGCTGCAAACAGGAGTGAGAGATACCATGTAAAATATTTGCTCTATTTCCTCACATTATGGGGCTAGCAATTGGCTGGGAAGAGAGAGATTTGTGGAATCAGTATTTTAAGCACATTTTTCATCTATGAATCATGTTCCTCATTTTAAATTTCACCCAGGATCTCTGGGAGAAGGAATTCCAGGAAAGCCTGTAAGAGCTGCAGGGGTGCCCAGGGATGTCACAGAGGTAGCAGAGATATCCATCATTGGGGTGGGGAGTGAATCCCAATTGCTGAAAGGAAAATACTGCACAAAACACTTCAAGTAGAAGCTCACCCTTTGCCTTCTTCCCAGAAAATCAGGGAAAATGTTCTTGTAAATTCCAAAGTCAATGATGTTTAGGATGGTGTGGTATGGAAGGACACGCTGGCACCTTCCCAGCTGCTCCTGTGCTCCAAGGCCTCCTTGCAGCTTCCTGGGCTCCCCATGGAAAAATCAATGGATGTTGTAAAAGCAGCTCATTGAATGTGTGTCAAGACTTCCTGGCTTTCCTTGAGAACATTTTATGTATAATTTATAGATATGATCAATGGCACTTCAACAAACGAGAGCTACCCCAGCAGCTGAAATCAAGAAAGACCAACCAGGCAGACCTAAACCAGCAAAACATCCTCACTTCAACAAACCTGAACCACCCCACAGAACTGAGCAATGGAACATTAACAACCTTGAAAAAATATTTTTCAACAAACTTATACCCTGAAAGTATCCCACAGCTGATAAGTGAGGCTCACCCCCCTCCTCAGAGCAGGATGAACAGTTCTCCACAGTTCCACCCCAGCCAGGCTCACAGCCCAACATACCTGAAGAGCCATGTAAGCCACAGAATATAAATGTTAATTCAACAATGGTTTTCAGGCCTTAAAATTCCAAAGGAAAAACCCCACCCAGATCTGTCTTCCCAAGCTGGCAAACATTAAGAACAACTGTAAGTGAGAACATCTCAAAGTTTCAGTTATCTGTGCCAGGAAAGATTTCAGACTTCCCAGGATGTGACCTTGTCCCAGGTGTCCTTGTGCTTTCCACCTCAGCTGGGAATAAACAAATTTCTGAGGTAACAGGAGGAGGGAGGACATCTGACCCTGCCTTTTGGGATCTAAGGCCCTGTCCCACCTTCACCCCTGAATCACAAAGGAGAAGCCCGGAGCAATTTGGGCTGGAAGAGCTCCCAGGAGGTGCCTGTTCCCACAGCCACCCCCAGCAGGGCCAGCTTTAGTGTTGGATCAGGCTGTCCAGAGCCTTGTCCAGTCAGAAGTTTGGAATGTCCCCCCACCACATCCAAGGACATCTAAAACTCACTGCAACACCAAAAATGGAATTTTGCTTGCCTCTGCTCTGTGTTGGGACAGTGATGTGGTGAATAAAATTAGTTAATGCTGATTTTCTGTGTTGTTGGGGTTTGTTCTTGGCATTACAAGGGGAATATACATATGTATATATACATATATATGTATACACACACACCCCACCACCTGGGTGTTCTCTGTACGAGCTTTGGTGTGGGTGCACTGTTTAATGAACCAGAAACACTGATCCCACTGAGACTTCCAGCCTTCACCCACAAAACTGCACAAGGGTGATGAACCTTAAGCCCATCAACAAAAGAAAATTTCTAATTAACATAGATGACACCATCACAAATAACTTTTCTCTGCAGAACTAAGACATGTCGTGGCAGGAAATGTCGGCAAAGTGAGGCACAGAATGCAATGTATGTACTGAAATTAATGGAAAACTAATCCTGAGAACACCATGAGCCAGCATCCCATCAGGCTCCAGGAAGATATTCCTGTGTCAGATGAAATATTGAAGCAGCAGGATAAAGAACATCCCACAACAAAGGGGACACACAACTCACCTGTTCATCTCTTCAAGGCAGTCGGTTGCGAAGTAGAAGCTCTTTATTTTGGGGTGACATGCTTTGAAGGCACTGTAAAAAAGAGCACAAAGAATAAAAACCACCTTTTCTTTCAAACATCTTGTCTACAAATACACCAGACTGTCCTGCTCTATGATTCTTCAGGTTTCATAGGCATTTGTCATCTTCAGTCTGAATTTTGCTGCCTAAATTTATCAATGGATTCCTCCCAATCTGATTTCATCTACATTTGTGAGCCTCATACTTTGCAAAAATTTCAAAAGCACTTGAATGACTTAAAAATATAAATCCTTTTGATAACCACTGATGTTCTATGTCTAAAATCTCCTTGGGTTAATTTGAAAGTCATATTGAGTATATTCAAGTACATCTTAGTTGTATTCCAAAGATCAACTATAGGAATAAATGTTTGATCCCCCCCACCTCTTCTCATGTATTTGATGACAGTTTTATGTTCTACAAAAAGAAATGCAGAGGGCTGCCAAATTGAGCTAGAAATCACTGGAATTATAGATAATAATCAGATGGCATAGGTGATTATAGTGCACAAAAATGCTTTTTATTAATGCTTTTATGTGGTCCAATCCCTGAGATCTCCCTCAGCTGAGCAGTTGAAAACTGCAAAGAACAACAATCACAGTTTTTATAATTTTTTGTGAGGGTATAATGAAAAGGAGTTTTGCTATCAAGGAAACCAGAAGGTCCCAGCATTAAAGACTATTAATTTGATTAGCTGGCAAATGCTAAAAAAATGCCACACTATCATTCATAACATTTATGTTAAAATACTGACATTTATATGGTAATTACCAGATGTAAGAATTAGATTAGGAATCATTACACGTGGAATTATGAAGAACCTGTGATGCAATGTTTCCACTATTAATAGCTGAAATGCAAATGAGTGTTTTATTAATTACTATGACTTATTGCAGTTTTCAAAGACAAGATGAAAGCTGAAGAAGCTTCACCTAGGCACAGTGATTTTTTAATATATATAATTAATACAAATGCATCCAGCAATAGCTTTCCTAACAAAAGCCCTTCAGCAGAATTCTGTATTTCTGTGCAGTTTCCTTTTTCATGAGATTAGGGATATCAGGGGTGAGGTTATCTTTGCACAGAGAGCTATCATTAAATATTAAATCCCACAAAAGGAGGCTGTGGAGGTATTTAAGTGTTGTTTTGGGATCTGGACAGTGATAATTTCCACTGCAGAGCCTCACTGCCCTGGCTGCTGGTGCTTTGTAAATAAAAGCAGTGAGTGGCTGAAATCCCACACAGCGATCCCTGGTGCCCACTAGATGGCACAGGCTTGTTAATTATCTCTCTTTTGATCATTACATAAATGCACTTTTAAGTATGCTCTGATCCAATTTATGCTTTCTTTTAACTGATTGGTACGATATGGTTTTAGTGTCAAGAATTCTTATCATTCTTAGTCTTCTTTTTAATCCCTCTATTTCAACTGAGTACCAGCAACTCCCACTGGTTCTCTGGAAACAGCTGTGGGTGACAAAGGTGGGACAGTTTTGTGTGTCTGAATTAGAGCAGTACATGGCACATCTTTAATTACACAGAGATGAGCAAATACTGTACTTCCAACAGAAATTCCTTACACTACTACATTTTTGATGCTGAAAATAGAAAATCATGACTGAACAAACACTCCTGCATTGTTCTGCTGTTGGTCTGAACTCTCTGCAGCATCTGCACCTTGTCCTGCTCCCCTTGCCCAACCATCTCCAGTGGGATTGGCTCAGATTGGAGAGGATTAGGTGCTGGATCTAAAGATCTTAATCCCTTTGGCTAATCCTGAGACAATATCACATGATGGAGTTTCTGCTTGTAAATAGGATTATTTTCCTAGACAGGAAATTTAAACACATACAGGCTTTTAAATGCCAGTATTGAGGTTTCAGTGTTAATGGGTGGAAGTTATAGTGTGATAAACAGAGTGTAATTTGGCTCCTCTGTGCTCCTGTAATGTGATGAAATCTATGATTAGTGGATCATTTTCGAGTGGAAGGTGTCCCTGCCCACGGTAGGGATGGAATGGGATGATCTTTAAGATCCCTTCCAACCCACACAAGGCTGTGATCCTGTGATTATTAGAATATTTTACATTCTCACAGGACCCTGCCTCAGTTAAGGCACAGAGAGGTGAAATCAGGAGTGTGCAACAGGTCAGGCACGGTCTGCAGGCTCCTACCTCAGCTGTTACAGAACTTGTGAAGGTGTCATAAAGAGCAGAAAGAGCAGGGATTTTGTCAGGGTAAATCAGGCAAATGCTGCAGGTCTGGCTGCTTTTGCAGAGTTCCCACATGCCAGGTCCCTGCAAACAGCTCCAATTGGTTACTGTGTGAATGTTCCTTGAGATCTTTCTGTCTGATATTGTGATCCTTTCCTGAGACAGTGAACATAAAAGCTGCAATTGTGCATTGCACTGTTGCACATCTGCAGGCTGCAGACAAGAGATCTTTATTGCTATGAAATGGAGATCCCAGCTCTGTGCAAACTTGTGATTTAAATGTGCTGCAGTTCTGTGTCAGGACTGCAAAACACAACAATAAATCCATCTTCATCTCCCAGCAGTGTCACTGAAATTATTATTAGGGAAGTGTTTAGATACATTTCTAGCTTTAGGAACTGCAGTCTCCAGGGGAACAATTTGAGATGTATAAATATGAATAATTTAGAGGAATTGTATCTATATATTTACATTTGGCTTGGTTTGGAGGGCCCAGACTGGCTGCAATAATCAAGATGTGGCACAGTGAGTGCCAGTTTAAAGAATAATCCCTCTCCATCCATTGGCTGCACTCCAGTTCACACAGCCCAGAAATTTCTTCCCACTGGTGGCTCAAGGGGGCTTTGCTGTCTGCAGACTGTCAGATTCTTTTCAGAAATAATAAAATTATGAAACTGCAGCAACATTTAAGCTGTACCTTCCTGTCTGCCTGTACTACAATGACAATTTTAAAGAGCTCTGACTGCACTCTTCCAATATGAAGTGCCAACACTGTGACATATCCTTGATAAATTTAAGACCCAAATTTGCATTAACTAGGCAATGAAAATTTTCACTAGGTGGAAATTTCTGAAGGTTCAGGCAAGGCACCAGTTGATAAGGATTAATTACACCTGTGGCTCAATTAATCTTTATACTTGGGGATCAGCATCATCATGGGGCATTATAATTATCAGTATCTGTGAAAATAACACGATATTCATGTCATACCACAGCACACAAACTCAAATAACTATAATTTCTCCTACTCTGTGATCACTTTTAATCAGGAGGATGCAGGTGTTGCCTGAAAGCAGTGGGAAGGTTTTCAGTGGCAGTGCAGAGAGGCTCCTTTCACAGGGACAAGGTCACTGCATGTCCAGCTATAGCCTGGAGAGCTGGAGCAGCCTGAGATAATGCCAGGGCTCCTGAAATAATCAGGGTACCTTCATTAAATGCATTACTGAGGCACATCATCAAGCCATACCAAATAATACACTCAATTATCTATATTCTTGTGAAAGCTTTCTTGAGGCTATTCCATCACTGTGGGCCGTGGACATCAGGAGCAGAGCTCCCCCTCCAACAGAACAGTGGGAAAGAGAAACCCATTAATTATCCCAGTGAGTCTTCACATCCTTTAGTTTCAAAAGGGTTTGAACATTTCACATCAATAGCTCTGAAAATAGCAGAGATCTGAGGGGAAATGCAAACTGAGGTCCAAAATGTTCTTAGTTCTGCACTGGGGAGAGCTGAAGGAAAACTGACACTGTGGTTTTGGCTTTTCTCTGGAATCAGACAATGGAATGATGCTCACTCCTGGCCTTGCAGGGCAACCCAGAACAGGACAGGTAAGTGTTCTCCAGGTGTGCTCACAGGGGCTGTGGGTTGGCCCCCACTCCCACATGCTGAATATTCTGAATTTCACTGCACTCACTTCCAGGTAAAACAGTGGCTAAGGCAAGGTGCAGTTCTTGTGATGGGGGAAATACATAAATGGTAGTCCATGAAGGAAGAAATCAAACAGAAATTAAGCTCAGGAAAAAAGGGAATATACTATGAACATCTTCATTATACTTTTACCCCTGGACCTGCCCCTTTTTGAGAGGATTCAAAGCCTGGAGGTTCTCAGCTTTCAGTTGTGTGCAAAGTTTCAGTTAATCGGACTTTTCCCTGTGCACACACCCTACAGAAATCCTTCCCTAAGCTGAGTTCTGAGGGATTGTGTTCTCATGCTTTGAGGAAAGCTCTGGAAGCTATTTCTAGCTGTGCACAATGACCTTCTGTTTGATCTTGGTTAATTCACTGAAATCTGTTAAGTGCTTTAGATTCTAACAAAAGGGTATTATTTTTCCTGTATTTTTGTTCAATATCATTATTAATATCTACTCGTGGCTCTGAGGTATTTATAGTGCTCAGCTCATGTTTAATTTCTACAGTGATACCCTCAGCTGAAAGGAGAAATAGAAGTGTAAATTGCACTGTCTTGTACTTCTCTGACACAGTAATAATATTCCCAGACAAGAACAGGCAACTGAAGAGGTTTGATTTTCTGATGAGCAGCCTCTATTGTAATTCATACCTTCAATATTTCTATTGTACTGTGCTCACAGTTGTAGGACTTGTTTCCTCAGACCAAAACTGCAATAAATCATTGGGAAAACAGAGGAAAAACCCAGGATGCTTAGTTAAAAGTAGGAAAGCATACAGAAGACAAATCCAAATAATTCAGGAGATACCAGCAAAATGCTGCTCTCAAAGCATTGGAATTGTTCTGCTAAACCTGTTGATTGCAATCCCAACATTGTTTGGAGCAGTTTCCAATGAGTGTCTCTTATTAAATATTCCTTAATTGTGCAAAGATTATAATGTCTTTTTAGTGGAGTGGAATGTAACAATAGCAATATGCACATAAGCAATAATGCAGAGTTCATTTTGCATATGGAACCTAAATATTTTAGCAGCTGAGAGCAACACAATATTGGGTATGAAAAGCTTCCCCCATAAAAGAGAAAATTAAGATTATATTCACCATTCCCTGCTATGATATTTGTTATGCTATTTCCTATGGGAAAACACTGCCTTACTGAACCTGAAAAAGTTTTATCTCTTTACTAAAGTATTCATTGCTTTTTGATTTACTTATTTAGCTGAAGCTGTAACTGGACTATCTGGCAAGCTGGCTAAAGAATTATTCAATTCATTTTAATCCAGTAAATGGAATTTACATTACATTGCATCTTTTATAATAAAGAGAAATACTAAAGCTTAAGCGGATCTATGATGTTATATTTACAGTTTTCAAGGGTTTTTTTTCTCTGTAACTTCTTTCTTTGGATTTTGCAAGTGTTCAGTATAGCAAACTTCCAAGAACAATCATTTGTGAATATAATTGACACATTACTTACTGTTTTCGTCTGCATTCAATTGCTCTGTCTATCCTGAATTCAGGTAAACTAATGAATCCTTCTGCTTTTTCATCCTATTGAATGAGGAAAAATAAAATGTTGACAATGAATATAGAATTAAAGAAAAGAGAAAAGAGCAGCTGCAGTTTGGGGTTTACACAAAGAATAACTACCCAGTCAAAGAAGTACTGAATGTATTTTGCACAAACTGTTTTTCCTATGGAATGGATTCAATCCATCACACAATGTAAATAACCTCTGTGAGGTAACTAAACTGGCAATTTCTCAGAGGAGGCACAGCCATCCCAAACCCCCTTTTGCTGAAGATCACAGAAAATCTTTCAGCCCCAAACACGGCCCCTAAGCAGAGGAGAGCTCTGATTCTTCCCCATAAATCAGATTTTACAGCTGTTTGGTGGCTGTCTCTCCTGAAAGTCACAGCTGTCACACCCCGGCCCCTGAGGAGCTTCCTTGGTGAGGTCACCTCTGATTAAATGGGGAGGAAATAACCAGGAAATGCATCCTGTCACTTTCTGCTTCTTTTGAAGCAATTCAGGAGGAAAAGCAGAGAGACATTAAATTAGCACCAGGCAGGTTTTGAAAGGTGTCAGCAAGGGCACAGTGAGTTATGGCTTGGTTTGAGGCACAGCCTGAGAGCCAGGGGGACACAGCCAGTGCCAACCCCACAAAACCCCTTCATCACCCACAGCCCGAACCCCTCTTGGGCTACAAAACCCACAAAAACTGAGGGCAATTTTGCTGCTGAACACCTCCTCTGGAAGGGGATGGGAGAGGGGGAGTGAAAGCTCAGTAACCAAAGCAGGCTGCAGAGTTCAGCCCAAGCACTGGGGCTGCTGCTCACAAAGGGAAGAGCATCATTGAACCATTTTGGGCTTCTCCCCTCTCTTATTTCCCTACATTTATGCAGATTGCACCAGCATAGGCCCATTGGTTTTCAGGAAAATTTCACCAAGAACAGCATTTTGCACATGAGAAACTGCAAACTCCAGACTAATTCAGCAAAAAGCAAGAGGAACATCGATATAAAAATAACTTCTAGATAAAGAGATTTACAAATTCAGATTTTCACATCTGCTTCACAGAATGCTTAATTAACACAAATGGTTGCACTTTACACATCCCCCCTCACAAGTGAAACTGGGGAGAGCTGAGTGTGAACACTGTGTTAGTCCAAATAAATCTGTGGAAAAGGATTAACTACAGATATACTTATTTCTTAAAGACTGCTATGAACATCTGCTATTTTATTAAGCTTGAACATGGACCTGGAGACTTTAATAAAGAATTTCAGTTGAAATATTTCCAGCCAGACCTGGCAATTAATGTGGCAGATCACCTGAGCACGCAGTGAAAGTAGACTTTAAAAGAATTATAAAACTTAAGGTTTCATTTTGACTTTGTCCAAGCATGGCCCGTACTTACATTCTGGTTTGTGTACCAGTACAAGGAGGAATCCTTCAGGATGAACCAGTACTTTTTCCATTTCTGGGTGAAATACCCCTTGGCGTCCTTTTTCTTCCAGAGCCAGCCCTCGCAGTCGCCGTGGCCCAGGTCCTTGCAGGAGATTCGCCTGCGGCTCACGCTGGACAGGGACCCCCCTGGGACAGACACAGGGAATGTTCCAGTTCCAATGGAATGAAAATGTTCATTCTTCAGTGAACATATGAGTTCAAACATTCCCCTCCCAGGCTCACAATGAACAATTTCCAAATTCAGCAGTGCCCTGAGATTTTGGTTTCCCCATGACCACAATGAAAACTGCCTGGTTTATGCAATTCTTTATTTAATCTCCAGAGGGTTAATTTCTCTAAGGGCTGCATTTTTTTCTGATTAAGATGGACAGCACCATTCCAGAGTAAAAATGAATTCATTTAGCCTCAGTCAGGAACTCAGAGTGTGACACAATCTGTACACAGATGCAAACATTGGTTTTTTTCCATCTATCTTCCCTTTAGCAGCATAAGCTTTGCCAAATTATGAGAAATTTTAAACCCAATTTTTATAAACAATAAAAAAGAAAGATTGTTCACTTCCATAATAATGCAAACGCTTACATGATTTTTATCCTGAAGTGAACAACAATATGTTAACTTTACAGCATCCTGTTAAAGGCACAGCACCAGGAACAGGGTTGATTTTCTTTTTCTTGGTGTTATTTCAATGAATCCTAATTGAAAGGCTGAGATTGCCTTGTAAATATTAATAAAATTATGTTTTTTAATAATTATGGTATAATTTATTTTCCTGAAAAAAACTCTGTGGGAAATTCCCTTAACATATCAGACTTTTTTTCTGTGAAAAATCAAGTTTATGATGCTACAAGAATTTGTCCTACAGCTGTGAAACAGGCTAGAAATTTAGAGAATATAAAACACCATCCTTTGCTCTGCAGTGTTCCACCGGCAAATTCTCATCAATTTGCTCATAGTTGCTCTTTGCCTTCTTCCTAAGGAAGAGGAAATTTTTCCACCCATCCAAGCTATATTATACCCATAAAACATTTCTTTTGGTTTTTAAATTTGGTATTTTCCTTTATTGCTTACTATCAAATTTAGAAATATTGAATCAAGTTGAACTTTTGTTACAGATCACTTTTTTATTCTCAGAGAAGGAGCCTCATTTTCTGGTTTCAGAATGTTAACTGAAAGAAGTTACCTTTTGACCATTTCCTGCTTTTTACCCTGAGGGAAGCGTAATGGAATGACTGTAAGGAAAAAAATAAATAAATTATGAAACACCAGTGCAAGTAACAGCAGTAACATGTAAGAGCTTTCATTCACTCCCCTCTCCAGGGTTATCACAGCATCAGTGATCACAGGATCTCCCTGCTGTCATTTTCCTCTTACAACTTTCCTCAACATCATGAAGAAAACAACACTCTGCTCAATCTGCATATTAAAACAGCTTTAAAAATATTAATTACAATTGCAATGAAAGCATCAAGGATTCTTTGCATGAAAGCTGTGCAGAGGTTTGAAAACTAAAGATATAAACTCCCACGAAGGAGCTGATGAACTGACTGGTATTTGAAGTTTGCTGCATCAAGGAAATAATTATAAAAATATGCATTCAAAAAGAAATATTCACCACAAACATTATATACAAAATCCTGTGCTTAATGACGTGTCTAAGTCACACTTCCCACCACAGAAAGAAGTTTTTTGGGTTGGTGGTTGACAGAATAAGTCCCAGGAGAAAAAAAATTAAACATTGCTTTAGTTTTGTGGCAATATTAGAAAATTGCTACAGATGCTGGGGGAAAAACCCCTAAAATCAGGTCTTTATTTAAGCCTAAACCCAGGGACAGTACTCAAAAACTGGTAAGGATTTGCCTCCAATTAACAAACACTTAAAACCCCTAGAAAATAATCCGGTGCAAACAAGACTGCAGCTGCAGAGGGACAAAGGTTTATTTTAAATGAAAGCAGCAGAGGGAGGAGTGGGTTTGGACATGCCCAGCCCTGTCTGTAACCCTGATTTAGCACTTCACAAGGGAAGGTTTTGTGGGGACTGCAGGGATCAGCAGCTCCCTGTGCTCCCCTGACCTCAGCCTGCTCTCCCAGCCAGCCCCAGGACAGGAATGTCCCAGAAAATGTGACAATTGTGCCAGGGATGCTCAGTGAGGGATGGGCAGCATCCCCTAACTCAGCACCAGGAATGTCCCAGAAAATGTGACAATTGCGCCAGGGATGCTCAGTGAGGGAGGGCAGCATCCCCTCACTCAGCACATCTCCCTCAATTCACTTCATCTCTGCAAACGTGTCCCTTCATTCCGAGAAGGCAAAGATGAATGCTCTGTGCTGGAGGAAATGTGGCAAAATCCAGAAAATGAAACCAAAATTCTCTGAGAGAAGGTATGAAATGTGCAGAGCAGCTCTGGGGGGTTTGGGGATGGGCTGCAAATCCCAGCAGCAATATTGATCTGCCCTGCTGGGTCAGCTGGAGTTCTGGGGCTGGAACAACCTGCTCAATGTTCCCCTGTACAGGGAAATGCATCGGGGCAAAGCAGTGTGTTCCTGAAAAAGACATCACCAAATTTCCCCCAAATTTAGACTAGAGAAATGTAGGGATGGAATAAAACCCTACAATGAAATGTGGGTGAATTTAAAGAACTGCAAGACAAATGAAATGTATGGAGGGGATACTCACCAGACACTGGTGTTCATCACTTAATATTAAACTTTTAAAAATAATGAAAGAAACAGCCCAACAAATCAAGGGAGAGCTGAAAATACCTTTCTGAAATAAAACATATCTTCCTTCTAAAACACTTAGCTAATTATTCTTCCTGGATGGACAACACCATTCCAAAGTAAAAATGAATTTATTTAACCTCAGTCAGAAACTCAGAGTGTGACACAATCTGTACACAGATGCAAACACTACTTTTTGCCATCTGTCTTCCCTTTAGCAGCAGAAACTCTGTCAAATTATGGGAAATTTTAAACCCAGTGTTTATAAACAATAGAAAAGAAAGATTGTTCACTTCCATAACAGTGCACATGCTTACAGGATGAAATGAAAGAAACAGCACAACAAATCAAGGGAGAGCTCAAAATATCTTTCTGAAATAAAAAATATCTTTCTTCTAAAATGCTCAGCTGATTACTTTTCCTGTTTTGTTTATGCACACATAGAATGTATTCAAACCAAGGAAACTAGAGAAAGTGAAATGTTTGCAATACCTTGGGAATCGGTAGTTAATTAGCACTGCTAAGGTAAAAATTCAAACTCCACACTCTGAGAGATAAAAGAACCACTGTAATATAATTAACTTGGTGGCAAACACGGTAAGGAAACAGAACTCACAACTCCAAATGACTCAGAGTTGCTATGGGAGACAGACAGAGGATGGAGGACTCACTGGGGCTGTCAGTGTTTCAATTCTTATCTCAAAACCACACCACGAGGCCACAGCCTGAGAGTGCCCACCCTGCCATCCAAAGCCAGCCCAGTGCAAAAATGAAATTTTAAAAAGTGCTAGGATTGAATGGATGCTCCTGAAGGTAAATTAAGGAGTTCCCAGTGTAATCAGGGGATAGGAGAAGTGCTGGCACCGAAACACTAAACAAAAAGCAAAACTGGCTGTGTGTAACTCCACTGGCTTCAACCTAAGGAGTTTTTAGGGGAAACTGTTTAGAACTGAGTCATCACAGCCACAGAAAGGTTTGGGAGGGACCTTTGAGCTCATCCCACCCCCTCTGCCATGGCAGGGACACCTTCCCCTGTCCCAGGGTGCTCCGAACTCTGTCCAACCCAATCAGTGTAAAAAGTGCCAAGTCAGAATGAAGAACTGACATTCTACAAATGAAGGTTCTGTTGTTTTTCCTTTCTATGAAATAATTACAAAAGCTAAATAATAAAAAAGGCTTTTTTTACAGCTATTTTCCATTGAAAATGGAGCACCTCAGAGTTGGTACCATAAAAAATACTTGAAAATCTTAATCCCCAATCTCCTTATCATAGTATTGGTACTATTTAAATATTCTAAGAGTTTTAAAAGTTTTCTTTATCTTCAGGGTAAGCCTCCCTCCAGAGGTGCCTTCCAGCCCAATGTGGTGTGCGATTCTCCTCCCCAAACCATCACATATTGGAACACACACCAAGGTTCCCAAACTTAACTGAATTCCTAAGTTCCTAACCTTAACTAAAAGCATTGCAAGCACACTGACCTGCTGTGGTTGCAGCAGCCAGTTTCCTCAACATGGAAATTATTCCTAGATTTTTGTTTTCAGCTCTTCCATTACATGGCAAATGTCAAGGTCTGGGATATCTAAGGTGTCTTTTAAAAATATGGCAATGAATCGAACAGTTGAGGAGTTTTTTGCTTGTTTCAAGCACATTTATAAATCCTCACCTTCCTCATGGATGTGTTTCCTGGATGGTCAATGGCAGAACTTGCATATCTAGGACAAACAGGAGAAAGATGTCAAATAACCACAGGGAAAAAAACCCAAACTGATTACATAGTGATTACAGACACTCTGTGAATCTCTAAATATAACCACAGCATCCTGCAGCACCAAGTTCTGTAAGACTTTGCTACAGGATGCCACAGATACCAAGAATTGACACTTTAAAATGCAATAGTACCATCTCTGATATATGTGATTTCTGTAAAGACTGGAGATAAGGCAGGGCACCAGCACCAGAGGCCTTTCCTTGTCCTGTGCAAACAGAATTGGCCACGATGGAAATAGGACACTGAATCAGGGTCAGATTTGTAATTTTTATCCATTTTCAGAACTTGGACTAATACACACATGCAGCATTTTGGATTTATCTGCCTGGTCACAGGAATGCATTTTTAACCACCTCATCTGGATCCATGATTTACATTTAGGTTACTAGAACTTCCATCTCTTATATAATATATTCCTGCTACAACAAGGAAATTCTCACTGCAGATTAATTATTGAGTATTTTGTAGTGAGGGTTGAAATCCCTGGCTCAGCTCTGTGCTCTGGGCTGTTGATGCTTCGAGCAACTCAGGTGCACCTGTAAATCTCTGCAGCACAGGTGCATCTGAACATGCAATACTGACAGCAAAATGTCAAGACTGAAAGTCATTTTTAAAATGTTTATCTCTTCTTATCTCTCCAGCATTAACCACAACTACAAAAAGTAATTTCCAAAGCACACTGCCATGACCGTGATGAAAATAATCTTTAAGGATTATTTACAAAGACAAAATGTGTTGTGAGAAAGAACTTGAGCAGTGTTTACACATAAAAAATAAAGAAAAATTCAGCAAAATGTTCATCCAAGCAGCAGCTGTGCCTTGTGTGGGTGATGCAGCTTTTCTGCCTCTCTCCCCTTGTGTGGTTCTGTTCACAGGGGAACCTCCCACTGTCCCAGGTTGCTCCCAGCCCTGTCCAGCCTGGCCTTGGGCACTGCCAGGGATCCAGGGGCAGCCACAGCTGCTGTGGGCACCCTGTGCCAGGGTCTACCCTCCATCAGAGGAAGAATTTCTGTATATCCAACCGAAATTTCCCCTCTTTCGCTCATGGAAGATAGTGATATTTCACCCAAATATGTCAATCTATCTACACAGTTTGTCTCCTGGTTGCCAAAGTTTAACTCTAGGGGATAAATATCTGAAAATTGGTTTTTATTTCATTTTAAGCTATTTAAATAACTTTTAAATAAGGTTATTAGGAAGGTGATATAATTCTGCCTCTTGAAATATTTTTCAACATATTGAAAAGACATAATACGGTCATGTTTTGGGCCTGAAATCTGAAATGTGTGGGAGAAGGATTCGTCAACAAAAGAATAGAAAAGCATGGCCTTTTGCTGTGAAAGTTTGCCAAAATTTCATCAAGTCATATGTCCCTGGAAAGTATTTCTTGGCAGGTGCCCTGTCCTGTCCACCAGGGATGTTCCATCTGGATTGAAATGTCCCTGCCAAGCTGGGCCTGTGCAACCTGCTGGGGAAAACCAGGAGCCCTTTGCTATGGGGAAAACAAAATTGCTCAGGAGAAAAACAAACTCCTCTGCACCAAAATGGGGTGTGGAGGAGGAAATGAAATGGTGAGTGAGACACGTGGCTGCTTTGGGGAGAGTGTGGGGTCTGTCTCTGATACACAAAGTCAGGCAGGAAGGAGCCCAGGGAGGGCACAGCCAGGCTGAAAATGAGAGAAACAGGTGGGAGAGAAGAACAGGACAGCAGAACCTTTAAAGAGGATGGGAGGCTAAATAAAA